GGGAGGAATTTAGGTTTAAATCAGGCCATGATGGGGTCAGTGCCCTTGTAAGAAGAAATCGCAGAGAGCTTGCTTCCTCTTCCTCTCTGCTGTGTGAGGACACAGTGAGAAGGTGGCCATTACTAGCCAGCAAGGGCATTCTCCCCAGGAACCAAATCTGCCGGCACCTTCATCTTGGCCTTCCCCTCCTCTGCACTGTGAGAAATCAATGTCTGTTGTTCACGCCACTCAGTCTAAGGTATTTCATTCTAGCAGCCCACGCTGACTAAGACAGAAACACAAGAAGAAGAAAACTGGCACAGGTTGCAGAGGAGGGAAGGAGAATGTTGTCTCTCTCCATCTTGGCTTCTGAAACCGTCAGGCGCTTTTTCTTATCTCAGCAAAAGGCAGGAAGGGATTGAGGTCCCAACTTGGCACCCATCTGCAGAGCCCAGGCCTGGCTGGATAAGCATCAGTCGCAGCAGGTCAGCCTGCCAGGTTCGTTATGGCTGTATCTGGTTCCAGCACAGCTGAGTCAGAAAGGCCACTGCCCAGCGGCGGGACCTAGCTCAGTGCACCTGGCAAGGGTATATTTCCAGTATTAGCAATTAGCATTGCAAGGCTCACTGTGTTCGCCTTGGAAATCTGGGCTTATCGACGGACAGCCCAAATTTGCTGAGAAGTGGGAGCTCACTCCAGAGAAAACCTGAGAGCTATTCAACACCAGATATCTTCCCCCCCTGCGCCACCGCAGCTGTCTGAGAGCAGGGCTGGGGGAGAAAATTCACAGCGCAAATAACTTGACAAAATAGTTACACTAATTTGTAAATCATTTATCCGACAAAGGGTTGATCTCCAAAATATATAAAGAACTCATACAACTCAACAATAAAAAGACATACAACCCGATCAAAAAATGGGCAGAGGATATGAACATTTTTCCAAAGAAAATATACAAATGGCCAATAGACACATGAAATAATGTTTAACAACACTAATTATTAGGGAAATGAAAATCAAAACTACAATGAGATATCACCTTACACCTGTCAGAATGGCTATAATTACCAAGACAAAATACAACAAGTTTTGGAGAGGGTGTGGAGAAAAGGGAACCCTCGTACACTGATAGTGGGAGTGCAAACTGGTGCAGCCACTATGGAAAGCAGTATGGAGTATCCTCAGAAAATTAAGAATAGATCTACCATATGATCCAGCTATTCCACTGCTGGGTATTTATCCAAAGAACTTGAAATCAGTGATCCAAAGAGACTTATGCACCCCTATGTTCACTGCAGTATTATTCACAATAGCCAGGATGTGGAAGCAACCCAAGTGCCCATCAACTGATGAATGATAAAGAAGATGTGGTGTACATATATATATATATACACACACACACACACACACACACACACATATACAATGGAATACTATTCAGCCATAAAAAGACAAAACTGTCCCATTTGCAACAACATGGATGGACCTTGAGGGTATGATGTTAAGCGAAATAAGCCAGACAGAGAAAGACAAATACTGTATGATTTCACTCATATGTATAAGATAAATAATACATGGCTAAAGAGAACAGATTAGTGGTTACCAGAGGGGTAGGGGGTTGGGGTGTGGGCGAAAGGGACAAAGGGGCACATATATATGGTGACGAACAAAAATTAGATTACTAGAGGTTAGCACCATAAAGTGTATTCAGAAATTGATAAATAACAATGTACACCCGAAATTACACAATGTTATAAACCACTATGTTCTCAATAAAATTGCTGGGAAAAAAAATTCACCCTAGTCATTAACAACCTGTAACTTTAATGGACTTGAGAAGCAGTTAAGCAACGGGGAAAGGAAGGTTTCCTCACCTGCTTGTACTGAGGGTCTAGCTTACAGACCATCACCGTCACTCATTTCAAGTGTACAGTTTGATGAGTTTTAGCGGATTTATACAGTTATGCAAACTTCACCACAATCTCTCCCACCACCTGTGATCTATGTGAAACAAAGTGGAAGGGAAGTCAACCTCTAGTTGCCCTCGGAGGTGACACAGTGAGCAGCAGCATGGTTTGCCTGTAGCCTTGTGCCATTTGTACTGGGACTTCATCCTTGCACGTGTGTAGCCCGGTGCCTGGCACACAGTATGGGCTCAGTAAGTGACTGCTGAATGAATGAATGAACTGACATCTATAGTCAGTTCAAGAGGGAAGCAGTTAGAGCACGGTTGCTGTTTTGCAGGGAGGAAAGCGAAGGAAAAAGAGGTGAGTGACAAAAGGCATGGCCTGAGGGATTACGCCACTGGGGGGGTGGTGAGGAAGAAGAGAACATGTGAGAGGGAGGCAATCAAGCAGCTTTACAGCCTCTCCTCAAAGTTCAGCCCCATCCAGCAGCATCAGCATCACCTGGGAGCTTGTTAGAAATGCAGAGTCTCAGGCCCACCCAGACCTGCTCCATCAGAATGTGCATTGACAAGATTCCCAGGTCATCTGTTTGCACAGTGACGTTTGAGAAGCATTGATAGATATTCTTGTGGCTTTCCTAGAATAATGGGGCACCCCAACTGGCAGTTGAGAAGTTGGTTTGATAGCCTGATTTCCCATGGGAATCAACAATAGAAGGGTTGGAGAATGTTTTAAATGGTGAATTTGCTTTTGGAAATCCAGTATTTTTCCAGGCCATCTGGGGAGAAAGATAGAATCACCATCCAAAGTCTAGTGCATGACTTTGTTAAAGGACCATCCCTGGAAAACCTGCTGCCGGTTAGGTGTCTTGCCTGGAACAGTTTGACTCAGCCCTAGTCCTCTTTGTAGTCACTTGTCCTGGGGCTAGAGCTAATTAGAAATGTGTGTTCAGTAATGATTTTATAAGTACATTTTAACTAAGAAAAATCACGGCTTCTCTTAACAAGCTTCCTTTTACATTTAAACTCTATTCAGAGCCCCATTTACCAACACTACTGTCTTTCTTCCTTGTCCTAGCATGTTCACGAGAACACGCTGCTCTTGCCAACTCAGAGGAGCCCAGGGGCATTGTGGACACCCGGCCTGAGTCTTGTCATGTCGGTCACTTTACCAGTAATGGCTCCCTCTTCCCGCTATCTCCATTCTTCCACCTATATGTTGAAGATGAAGTGTAAGTCATGTTTTCCACAAAGCCTTCCCCAGCCACTCCAGCCTGCAACTGACTATTTAGATTTCTGAACTCTATAACCGTATATTTAGTGCACTTTTTTAAAAAGATTTTATTTTTCCTTTTTCTTCCCAAAGCCCCCTGGTACATAGTTGTGTATTTTTAGTTGTGGGTCCTTCTAGTTGTGGCATGAGGGATGCCACCTCAGCATGGCCTGATGAGAGGTGCCAGGTCCACGCCCAGGATCTGAACCAGAGAAACCCTGGGCTGCCGAAGCAGAGCGCACAGACTTGACCACTCAGCCACGGGACCGGCCCCATATTTAGTGCACTCTTAACAGTTCTTAGCCTGTGCTGCCTTGTGTTATTATTTGGCCATGCAGATATGTATCCTTTTGTCAGGAACAGAGGCACACCCAGCTCCTGTATTCCCACAACTAATGTCATACCTGGGTCATAGTACCTGCTCATTAAACATTTCATAGGTCCTTTCAGAGGGCCAGAGAGGCCCAGGCCACTGCCAACTTCAGGGACCTTCAACCATAACTAATTTTAATTGAAGATGTGTGGAAAGTAAATAGATCTTTAAAAATTCCCCAATACTTTTCTAGCCTTTTGTTCTATGAAAATGCATCATTTACTAAAGAAAATCTAGCTTTTGTGTAATGTCAGAATTGCTAGCAAATACAGGAAACAATTCAAATACCAAAACATTAATAAACATAATCTGTGTGCATGTATGTGTGCATATGCCCACATGGACACTCCTTATAACTAAGCAGCTGCGATTTACTGCAGGACCAAGGGTGTCTCTGTACACAGCAAATTTGCATCCATCTCACCAAAGCGTGTGAAGGAGGAGGTATCTCTAACCTCACCCAAAACTAGCGTTCTGATGAGTTTTCACTGAATTTAGCAAACTCTAACTTTTAGCCTACTTTATCCCCATCTGTAGTATGTTCCCATATTTTACATGCTGCTCCAAGGTTCTGCAGGAAAAGAAATATTGGTACACATTTTTCTGATGTCCTTCTCTCTTATGGATGAAATGCCATCACATTCTTCATAATCATTCCTTTTAGGGCCACAGGAGACCCAATACACCTGTTGGTATTGCAATAGCTTGCAAGACATTGCCCAAAGACTGGCTTCCTATCCAGGCTGGACAGGCTGCTCCTGGAGCCAGCTCCCTTGCACAATTCATGGGCAGAAATGAGGGCTGCCTGACAATGGGAACTGCCAGAGAGATGGTACCTTTGAAAAAGCCCAGTTTTAGAATCTTGCCTTTATCTCCCAATTTGAGGCAGTGTCTATCTTTACATTTCCAAAAATAGCTTCTTGCATGATATGGGAAATTACAAAGACTGCCAATGCCAAGAGCCTCTGAGACTCTTACACATCAGTGGAATATCAGTACGTGGATGGAAGTGTGGGCTATTTCAATTCACAAGACCTGGGTTTGAACTCAACTCTGCTACTAACTGGCTGTGTGACCTTAAGTAAAATCACCTCCCATCTCTGAACCTCCATTGCCTCTTTTTTAAAACGAGAATGGTGATAATACCTGTTTCACAATGTGATTGTGACGCACATGTGAGATGGTGAACATGAGAGCACTTTACAGTTGAAGCTATGTATCAGGACTGTAAGTAGTACTGCTCTACTGTAGGGGTTCTCAAACTAGAGCATGCATCAGAATCCCCTGGAGGGCTGGTTAGGCCACAGGTTGCTGGGCCCACCTCTGGAAAGTCTGATTCCGTAGGTCTGGTTGGTGCCTAAGAATTGGCCTTTCTAGCAAATGTCTCAGGTGATGCTGAAGCTGCTGATCTGGGGACCACACTTTGAGAAGCACAGCTGTACTGAATTCCCAGTCATTGTCCTTCTTACCGCATTATGAATTCCTTAAAACATAATCTCAACTTGTTGTGATGTCGATAGAGTTTTGGGTCAGCGGGAATTTCAGCCAAAAATACTTGGGCTACTTCCAGTGGTCCCTGATGGAAAAAGTAAAAACAATACTGACGTTAGAAAAAAATTAAATTACTTGAGATAAAATGTTGGAGTGACTTTTTAGTTTGAACATTTAATTTTGAAGTTAGTTTGACCAAAACAAAAAATCAAGGAGGGTCTTGAACATCTCAGGAAAACTTTGATTCCTTAGGAGGAGTCTGTAGTTTTAGAAGAATACTCAGAAGTATAGATGTATTTTCTTAATTAAATACTAATAATAGGTTTTCCTTCATATATAAAGGTAATACTACTACATCAAAGAAAATGTGCTTTGAGTTGCTTTTCTGAAAATGGGGATTGTCTTGATCCATCCATTCATATTCACTTTTCTAGTTGCCCAAATGGCAAGCACCATTTTGTGTAACTCATGCTGGCTTGAGTCAGATATATGGATAGTACATAGGTAGTCCATGGTTGTGCCTTTAGAAAGTCTTCCATTTTCATTAATGGAAGGAACTTATAAAAGCAAAAGCTTCCTAATATGTTCTGGTCTTGGAAATATAATAGTCATTTTTCTTCTCTGCTATTTCTGTTCCCTTGATGCTACATAGACACAAGTTTTTGCAGGGGCGTCCAGTTGTGCTGAGCGAGGGAAGAGTCATGGTACTCACTGAGTTTTTGAGTGTGGAGGTGGACAAGAGCAGACCTAGTTCTGAAATTAAGGAGGCACACTGAACAGAGAGTACTAAGCTAGCACTCCCTCCATCTGAGACTGGTTTAGTTGCACGCTAAGCTTGGGAGTTAGGATTCAAATAGATCTGAGAAGGTCCAGTCTAGTTTTAAGTGGCCTAAGGAGCCTGATCTCAGGTCACTCCTGGTTAGCAAGGCCACTGGCATGCTGGGTTCCTTGGTGACTGACCCAGGGCTTGGATGTTGTAGACGTTTCCCCTGTCTCCTACAGGCATTCTTCAGTTAGTCTCCAGGCCTGCAACAACTCTGCCTAAATTGGGCACGATGAAGCCCTCTTCCACAGGACCCCCGATCTGGATCATATTGCCAGGTCTGGGGCCGAGTGAAGACTTCTCCAAGAAAACGGTACTCGTTAGACATGGTCCACTCATCTCCAGGATTTCTTCTCTACCTTGGGTTGCTACATGAAGCAGAAGAGGCCTCCTCAAAGTCCTCTAAACCTCACAAGTGTTCAGTCTAAGTTTAGGAACATCACTTGTGTGCTGATCAGACTCCTCATCAACCTCCAGGAGGGAGGGTGCAGACATATAATTAAAATCAAAGTACCAAGAACCAGAGGAGCTGCCACTGGCTGCTTTTGCTCACCTGATTTACAGTAGCTCCAACGGAGCCCTGCAGCACCATCTGAAGCATCTTGGCATCAGGGGGCTCCTGGTTAACGGCAACCGCTAACTGCAAGGTCTTCTTTTTCATATCTTCAATGGCAACTTCGATTGGTGTCAAAACAAACTGAACATGAGACACAAGTGTAGGGAAATTATTGCGTGGTCTGATAAGCCGTGGACAAACCTGGAGCTATGATGAAGAGGGCACCTGGATTTGAAGAAGCAGCTAAGGAGGCTTTCAGAGTAACTTAAAATAATCTGGATAGGTTAAGAAGGAAGGGCTTAACATTTTTTGAGAACTTATTATGTTCCAGCAACTTTACATACATTTATTATTTTCTCCTTTAAACAATGTCCGCATTCTCTCCATTTTATACTCAAAGGAGGATTTGTAAGGTTAATTAAGTGCCACAAAATGACACAGGGAGTAAGTAGGGAGATCAAAATTTGATCAAAATGATGTCTACATTCAAAATCCATGTCCTTTCTACACTGTTAGTTTTCCTTTCCTATTATTGAACATATTACTCAACTTATAATTGGGAAAGCTATTGGAAGTACAGCATTCAATATTTTCTTCCATAATATTGAAGATATTCTTCCAATAATTTCTTCCACCATAAAACAAGATTTTTGGCAACGTGTGTGCCTTCTCCAACTCACCGTTAAGGTGAATTCCTAGTAAATAGAATTCTTGTAAGGGTCAATCTACTAGTTGCTAAGTTCTGGTGGTTTGAGGTATGGTCCTTCCTGAATGTTATGGGTGCAGTGATGTCCGCTCAAAATTCATATGTTGAATTCCTAACCCTCAGTCCCCCAAAATTTGACCTTATTTGAGAGAGGGTCTTCACAGAGGTAACCACATTAAAAAGAGGTCATTAGGATGAGACCTAATCCAATAGGACCTATGTCCCTATTAGAAGAGGAAATCTGGACACAGAGACATGCATAGAGGGAAGGTGGCCATCTACAAGCCAAGGAGAGAGGCCTGGAACAGATCCTTTCTTCACAGCCCTCAGAAGGAACCAACCCTGCTGACACCTTGATTTTTGACTTCTGACCTCTAGAACTGTGAGGTAATAAATTTCTGTTGTCTGGGCCCCCCAGTCTGTGGTACCTTGTTGTGGCAGCCCCAGCCAACTAATATACTGAGGTTCTCAGGGAACTACCGATGGCCAAGAAAAATTGTGAGGACTCTTACTGGGACCATGAATTTCTTTCTGTGCTATGCCTACATGTCCTAGTGTTCAAAAGTCCAAAACAATAAGAACACAGCAGATGCCTTCTAAACCAATCTCCTCTTGACTGAGCCACTATTCAGGCTTTCTTTGCCCTCTGTGAACCCCACTCTCTGATGTGGTTGCTCAACACTCTTGTTGATGGGACTTCTGCTCCTGCCCGATGAGGTGTGTACTCACCATAATTTATCTGTGTTTGTTCACCAACTTGATTATGCATGCTATACTTGTTATTTTAATGACCTAATCTAATTAAATAATGCATAAACTGATAAACTACAGGTGTGGAAAGAAAAGGAGTTGTTTCTATGAAAACCACGCTGAATGCTTGGGCTAGATGTCATGAAAGTGAGTTGCTATAAAGATTCCTGTCATATTAAGTGTGCGCAAGACAACTGTAAAAGGCTAGAGGCAAAAAAATAATAAAAATCCAGAAGGATTCTGCTCTCCCATTGTTTAACAAAGATCTTTAAGCTCTCATTCTGCTTTATAGAAACCAAAACTGGTAATCATGGACAATGCATTATGGGTGGGGTTTATACAAGCAAGACAATGCTAATTGTGACCAGCCAACCCAAAATCACAGAGAAGGCTGAGGCCCTATATAAAATGAATGACAAATAAATGTACATCTATGTTTTTTTAAAAAATAAAATGTTTATAGTATGTCTAATTTTGAGTGACTCTGTGGCTTGGGATACTTTCTTTTTCTTTTTTTTTTGGTGAGGAGGACTGGCCCTGAGCTAAGATCTGTTACCAATTTTCCTCTTCTTTTTGCTTGTGGAAGATTGTGGCTGAGCTAACATCTGTGGCAATCTTCCATTTTGTATGTGGGATGTCACCACAGCATGGCTTGATGAACAGTGTGTAGGTTCACGCCTGGGATCCAAACCCAAAACCCCAGGCTGCCAAAGCAGAGTGTACAAATTTAACCACTACACCACAGGGCTGGCTCCTTGATATACTTTCTTGGTCAGTCTCATTACAATGGATTAGAAGTCTTGCACTCTACATAGAACCAGAGAAGAGAAAGGGATCTTTCCTGCCAATGGATAGATGAGGAAACTGAATGAAGATAAGTGGCTTGCACAAAGCCACAGGAGGAAGCTGGGACCAGAAGTCAGCTGGCCTCCTCTCTACCGTGCATGGTGCCCTTCCTCCAGTGCACCACCACCGACTCATTGGAGCTACTCTTTGCTGTTCCTGTCTCTAATAATTAACAACTATGCCTGTATCACCTTTTAAATATGTAAGCTTTTAAATATGTAAAAAGACAGTATAAAATATTCAAAATTTAAATACATATTTCATAAGATATGTCATTAAAATATAAATATTAAAATTACATAAATATTTTATATTAAAGATATAACTTTAAAATATAAAATATTTACATATAAAGTAGTGCTATAAAACATGTAGCTGCCTGAACAGGATTTCTGGCACCACGAGGGTGAGAGGATAACACCTCTCGCTGTATTTCAAGCGTGGCCCTTTTAGATTTTCACTCCAGTCTGCCAAGAAGGAGCATGAAGGAGGTCTGTGTGTCGCCCCGGGAGGTCACGCAGGCCCACTCATTCAATGGCGGCCTCAGTCCCCAGCTCACTCCCCTGGGGCCATCACCTCCTCCTTCTGGATGACGCTGATCCGGGTCTTGATGTAGGGGAAGGCGTGCATGGTGGTCAGGACGGTGTTCCGACGGTACTGCTCGTGCAGCTCTCCCCGGGGCCGCCCCTCCAGGGTGAAGGGGGTGGTGTACATGAACCTCCGCAGATTGAAATTCTTCTCAAAGTAGGTTACCCTGTCTTTCATCTCGTACTCATCAAAGTAGGGCTCCACAAAAGTGATCTGGATGTAGGCCTGAGGGGGAAAAGGCAGGGAGAGGAGGAGATGAGCTAGCCTGCAAACCACCACCCAGGACACACTGGGGAGGCGTGCTGGAACCACGCAGCAGCCCTGCCCCTCTGAGTTCACAAAAGCCACAGAAGCTGAGAGCATCAGGTGAGACTTCGCCATCAGCCGTCTGTCCTCTCCACCCCCAGGGAGAGAAACGAGTGCGAGAAGGAGAGGTGAGTATGTCTGTGTGAAGTCAGGTCCCCTGCTCACAGAGCTAACTGATGCGACTGAAACTTGGTATGAAAGTTTGCAAACTGCTCCTCAGAAGAGACGGACTTTCCTTTTCAGAACAACCATGACCACTGCACACTTATTAGAATGGCTAAACTAAAGAACACTGACAATAACAAGTGCTGACAAGGATTAGAGCAGCGGGAACTTTCATGCATTGATGGTGGGAAGGCAAAATGGTACACCACTTGACAAAACAGCTTGGCAGTTTCTTATACAGCTAAATTACACTGACTATATGACCTGGCAATTCCCCTTCTGACGTGTGTACTCAAGAGAAATAAAAACTTATGTTTACACAAAAACCTGTACACAAATGTCTATAGCAGCATTATTCACAATAGACAAAAACGAGAAATAGCCAAATGTCCCTCAAGTGGGGAAGGGATAAACAGATTATGGTAGATCCTTACAAGAGAATACTACTCAGCAATAAAAAGCAATAAATAACAAATGCATTGTGCTAAGTGAAGGAAGCCAGACTCAAAAGGCTGTATGATTCTATTTACATATATTCTGCAAAAGGGAAAACTACCAAGACAGAATACACATCCGTGACTATCAGGGGCTGAATGCAGAGGGAGGGAATGATGACGAAGGGGCATGGGGAAAGATTTTGGGGGTGATGGAACTTGTCTATATCTTGGTGCTGGTGGTGGTTACATATGTTTGTCAAAACTCAAAGAACTAAACACCAAAAAAGTGAATTTTACTGCATGTACCTCATTAAAAAAATGCACACACACATGTGCACACACAAATACACTATGAAGAAGGGCATTTATTAAGAAAGAAGGCCTCTTTAAAAAAAAGGGGGGGGGCGCGTCTTTTGGCAGAGAGGTTGAGTTTGTGGGCTCTGCTTTGGCAGCCCAGGGTTTCGCCTGTTTGGATCCTGGGCACGGACCTAACATCACTCATCAGGCCATGCTGAGCCAGCATCCCACATAGCAGAATTAGAAGGACCTGCAACTAGAATATACAACTATGTACTGGGGGGCCTTGGGGAGAAGAAGAAGAGAAAATATTGGCAACAGATGTTAGCTCAGGGCCAATCTTTAATTAAAAAAAAGAAGAAGAATGACAATGACCATAGACTCTGCAGCACCCCCACCCACTGAAATGGATGGGTGAGGTCAGTGACCTCAGACCGTAAGGCACTATTTAGTGTGATGAAATCTGATTGTAATTCTGGTTTCAGATTCTCATTTAAAACTCTCACAGCCTCCCTTGGGGATTTTAAAGAGGGGAAAAGAGCACCCTGTGTCAGGAACGTCCCTGGGACTCTACACAGCTGTGTACAGATCACTGTGGGCACACCGCCAATCCTATCTTTCAAGGACCTCAAACATTCCTGTCTGAAGCTCAGCTCAGCTCTTACCACAGTTACTGCTTCAAGCCTAGACTAGGGAATGTGTCTAAAGCGGGCAAGTCTTCTGAAATATGTAGAAAAACAAACTCTTAAATTTGGCCAGTTCCTCCCTTCCTTGCATCATCTTCTTAATATCCTGGAGGACAGAACTGAGAGAAGAGTTTGGACTCTTCCTCTTACAGGCCTGCCAGATGGCAACTGCTCCTCTGTCCCCCAGCCCTTAATAAGACCTTGAACTTGCCTTATTTTAGCAGCTCAGAAAGCTCTCTCATGAACATATCTGTCTATGAGGTGGACTGAGCAGGAAGGCATCCCCCCACGGTATAATAAAGAATATATCTACTCTTTGTCTGTTTCCTGGCACAGAGCCTCAAAAACTCTTGGAATTTCCCAAGTGATAGGACTCTCTTTGTTACTCTAATGTGGTGAATCATGCATGGTGGGTCCCTAGATAGCTTCAGGATGGGGCGGCTGGTCACCAAAAAGACCAACTATGTGATGAGAGAGTTGGGACTTTGGGCTAGCCTGGCCTTCCGGGAGGGGAAGGGGGCTGGAGACTGAGTTGAATAATGTGGCTGATGATTTCATCAGTCATGCCTACCCTGATTGATTCAACTCTGGACACCGAGGCTCAGTGGAGCTTCCTGGTAGGTGAACATATTGACCTGCTGGAGGGTGACATGCCTGGATTCCAGAATGACACGGCATAGAAGCTCTGGGCTCCTTCCCAGACCTTGCCCTACGTGTACCCTTTATCATTAAACTGTAATTGTCAGTATAGCACTTTTCTGAGTTCTGTGAGTCATTCTAGTGAGTTACATAACCTGAAAGGTACCGTGGGAACCCCCAAATTTGCAGCTGTCTGGTCAGAAGTGTGGGTGGCTTGGGGGACCCACTTGAGGCTGGTGTCTGAAGTGAGGGCAGTCTTGTGGGGGACTGGGCCTGCATTTTGTGGAGTGTGACACTAACTCTGGGTGGTGAGTGTCAGAACTGTATTGTACTACACCCAGCCTAGAGAGAGACAGAATACGCCTTCATGTGAAAAGTGAGGACACTGAAGGCCAAGCCTTTTCCATCCTTCCCCCAACAGCACAGCGACCCTGCCCTTGGCTGGAAGGAACACCTGCAGCCTAAAGAAGGGTACCACCAAACGCTGTCGGTGAGAAGTCTGCATCTTTTAACATGTTTTAAATTGAGAGTTTAAAGTTTTTATGGAAAGCCAGTAAAGAGCAGTGATTAAGGGTCTGAGGATGACAGACCTCATTTGCGTACTGGCTTTGACACTTGCATGACCTTGGAAAGTTGCTTAACCTTTCTATACCTCAGTTTTCTCATCTGTAAAATAGGAAGAACACCACCTGTTTCAAAGGACTGTTGAAGGATGAAATGAAATGATGTGTGTAAGGGGCCTAAAGGAATGCCAGGCACACAGTTGGTGTTTAATAAATGGTAGCTTCTATTACAGTTCCTGCTTCTGAGTATGGTTTCTTTAAGATCTAACCAAACAGTAGTTGAACCCTAGACAAAAAAGTCTGGCTGCATTTAAACGACTTGGAGAGCCCAGACAAAGGAGGTCATCTTATGTTCTTGGGGTAGGACAAAGGGAATCAGAGCCGGATGGTTATTTTTTGCAAATTTCCCCATACCTTGTTTGGATCCAGCTTGGTTTTGTCCACAGGAGCGGAGTCTTTTATCACTTCCACAAATTCTGCACCAAAACATTGACCATAAAATCCCTAGGTGAGAGGAACCAAATGATTATAAAGGTTATTTTAATATAATGTAACTCTGTCTCTCAGAAGAGGCGTAAGTTTGGAACAAGTGTCGGGAGAATTTGCTCATTGATTATGGAAAGTTCCTCTGAGCTCATGAGGCAAGGTCAGCATTTCCTGAGACAAAAATAAAAATATAAGGAAGTCCAGCATGCAAATTGATATACGCTTCCCTATAATATGGACGCCTGCCTCTAATTCAACCAACGTCATCATATTTCCTGAAGCAGCTCCAGGGGTATGGCACTATTAACTTCTTGCTTTCTCTACCCTAGGAACTTGAAGGTCACCAGGCTTCCCATAATTTGAGAAACCACAGTGCACAGAAAGACAAAATATATACTTCTATTTCTAAGCAGGGAGAACGATAGTGGGGAACCAAGTGACATGGTGTCAATTGCTAATTCTCCTTCTCATGAGCTGAATGACTTTGGGCAAGTCACCCAACCACCCTGGGCCATGGTTCTTTGAGTCAAGTAAGGATTCAAGTCTTACTTAGTGTGGATGGGTAGTATAAGGAGCAATTTGGCAACAATATGTTTTAGGGTTTACAGCCATGAAAGGGCATAAATTCAAAGCAATAGCAAGAAAGTGTAAGGAGTGAGTCTCCGGTTAATCACTGTCAGCAGTTCAGAGGACCCCAGATATTCAGCCTGAGAGGGTTTCGTTTTGGTAGCATCCCTTGACTTTCCTCCTGAGTTCATAATGCTTGGCCCTTTCAATGTCTGTGTCTTTTTTTCTGTTTTCTCTATGCTGTTTCCCTTTTTCTCCTGCCTTTTCTCCAAGAACATGCTGCTCTCTTCTGCTACATTTGCTACATTATGGATCAAATGTAAACAGCAGGTTGGATTGGGCTGCCAGCCCATGGGATGGGACACTGACTCTGATTATCCCAAGAGGGCGCTCCTTGGATCAGCAGGAGCATCTCTGTGTCAGAAGTGGGATTATTGTCCAGTGACACCAAAACAATGGCCACAGCTTTTTCTAGGGGTCATTTGGTAATTTGGCCAGATTACTTCACAGTCAAGATGATAACCTTCAAGATGAAAAACTGCTGCTAAAATTTGGAGAGGGTTATAAGAAAGCAGATGAGATTGACTGACTTGTGGATGGTCTTGAAAATAAGTATTCATGATATTATTTACAACCTTTGACAAGCATGCACAGAATCTTAGGGGAAAACTATTGAAATCTTTCTTTACCTCGTGATCTCACCTAAAACCTTCATATCATAAATGCAATGTGGAAAAATTTATATAGAGATCAATGATGAATCCAGGACGCTTCAGTTTTTTCATAATGACTCACTCTAACTTGTTTTTGTAAAGTATGCAATGTCAAGCACAGAATCGCTTTTCTTACCTCTAGTCTGTGAGAGATCTCAGGAAGCTTGGTAATTGCAGGCTCTTTGTAAACAAATTCCTGCTCATCTAAATCTCCAAATTTGGATCCATAGAAACCAACGCGGAAGTAAGTTCCAAACATTCTCTTATGACCCTGATGAACAAAACAAGAAAACCTTTCCTTAGTTATGTAATTCATGAGGATCCACTGGGTTGCAAAGGGCAAGAGTCTTTTATTGTTGTGTGATAAGGCATTTTATTCCTATGACTAATTTAAAGAGAAATCACTCTTTTAAACATGTAATGTTTATGGGAATAAGCTTTGGAAATAATAACAAAAGGAATTCCATGAAAGCTTTCTAGGACTTCTTTTAAGTGAATTTAAAAGATTCTCACATTTCCTGGTTGTAAAGTAATTCAAGTAGCCTTCTTTCAAAGTCTGAATTCTGGTCCTCTGTCTATTCCCAGCCCGTTTCTGTTTGGTAGGTGGGAGCTACAGCAATGATGTGCTCAAGGGAAATCACTCCCTAGAGAGGAAGGAGGGCCAAGCACCACAGGGTCACCTGCTGCCAGGTAACAGGACCTATTGGCCAGGATCCCCAGCTACCTTGCTAATGATGCTGTCAAAGGCCTTCTGTAGCTTATCATGCGTGGAAGTCAGCTTCCGGAAGTCTCGATGTGCTTCCAGGATGGGGATGACCAGTTTGTAGACCTCATTAACCGTCTCATACAATCCTCCCTTGGAAAGAGGAGTAGAAAATCAAAGAGAATTTAATCCACTGGAAACTTAAGAAGAGCAGCCAGAGTTCACTATGAGGTGGAGAATGGATTCATTTTTGGCATCACAACATTTTACAGAGCAGGAGTGATGTCTGAGCTTCTTTGGGATGGTTGTGGCATTCAAACTGAACTAGACATATGCTACATGGTCCTGTGTGATGATGATAAGTAGGGAAAAGGGTTTTCATGGAGGACAAAAGGACAGGAGATTGGCAGCAGGGACTAAGAACAAATTCATATTCAATATTTAATGTTATATAATATTTAATGTCATCAGAGGTCTCCCTGTAGCCAGATGTTTAATGTATGCCTGAAAAGAGTTAGTAGGATTCTAATTAGTTCATTTTCTCAAATTTTAGGAAAAATGAACACATACTGGACTTTTTCTAAATCCTGAAATGGAAAACAGGAAAACAAAAAAAAAAAGAAGAGAGAGAAAATAGTTAAAACAGTAATTAAAATACATATGGGGTGAAGGGTGGAAACTTGGAAATGAAAAGTAGAAAAGAAGGAAAACTATAAGAGTGAAAACAAAATTGGATCAGCTAAATATAGTGAAGTGGTAAGTATTCACTTGGCTTAAAATGGGAGGGAGGAGAGAGATTATCAACATGAAAACAGACAAGGGACTTTCTCCTCTGCCCTGAATCTCATTGCCTTAATCTATATATTTTTTCCTTATTAGGAGTGTTTAGACCCAGCTTAGGTTAACGAGGGGCAGCTCAGTGGTTTCCGCTCCCACATTTCTGTGAGCTGGTCCTGCTCTGTGACCATCCTGGGGATTACTTAGTTGTTAGGAAGGAAGATGCTGTCTATTTATTCCTTCCTTTCCTCCCAGTGTCTCCTCCCCAATATTTTTCTCTATGAGAGGGAAAATGAGGGAATGAGAACATGTCTCATCATTTACTGTGTAACCCTGGGCAAGCCATTTCACCTCTCTGTGGCTTAGTTTCCACCCCTATTAAATGAAAATAATACTGTGAAACTGCTGCCCAGCCAATGAGCATGAAGTCAAAACCAGAATATTGCCCTGATGAAAGGCTTTCTCATCTCTCTCAGAGAGCTGACACAATTTGCATACATCAAAGTGCTCCCGGCCCACCCCCTGCCCTGCACACCCATGCACGTGTTGTCTGAAGCTGGGCTGGCTGAGCTGTTAAGAAGGGCATTCACAGCACTGGAGTTCAGCCGGACGTCAGAGGCCCGGGACCCGCTGTGGTCACTGACCGTGCTGAAGAGCTCCGCGGCCTGCTCCAGGAGGCCCACCAGGCCACTCTCGGTGAAGTACCGGCCGGAGCACACACCATCCTCATCAGGGGACAGGGTGTCATCAGAGACCGCTGACTCCTCCAGCACGTTGGAAGAAATATTCTGAAAGAGATCACAGGATAAGCCCAGAGAACTGGGGAATCAGTCTAACAAAAAGCACCACAAGAACCCAAAAGTAGGGATGCAGAAGCCCACGTTCAAAGATCCACACCAAGCCCGTGATTACACAAGGTCTGCAGTTCCACCCGGAAGAGGCTCTGGCTGCCATTCATTGTGAGAGGGCGCGCTGAGCAACTGGTTTTCAAAACTCACAATGTTTTTTTTAACTATTAGGAAGGAGACTTACTCACCTCAATGTAACAACAGTCAAGTCACTTTAGTGAAATGACCTAAGGGACATCCAACAGGGGTCATGGTTTTTATAAGGCAAAGGCCAATTAGCAGTTCACCAGACTCCTTGTTTCACCAGCTGAGTGATGTTCCTGTGAAGTAGTTGCTACCACTGCCTGGACTTTCAGGTGAACAGCCATATTATGTGACAACAGCAAACGACAATGTCGTCTTTATGGAAATGTTTATGGCAATGCCGCAGTTACTGTTTTATCCCCACAACATTTTGTTTCTTTCTATAGACTTTCACTTTACATAAACCATAGGATTTAAAGTCTCTAGCAGAGAATGCAGTGGCCAGGGCCAGGGCTGGGGGAACCAAATGAGAAACCCAGGGCACCAAATTTAGGGAGGCACTCCCTCTCGGGTCTATAACTGGTGATCTTGAACTTGCTTGACCCTGAGAATGAGTGCTTCCTTAAATTCTGTGGCTTCCATGCTTCACTCGCCTCACCCCAGCTCTGGCCCTGGCAGTGACTCTCATAGTCTTGACAAGTCAAGAGTCATTTTCTTTGACCTATTTCACAGCTGTGGAAGAAATGCATATGGAGCATAAAAGAAATGGGAAACCTTCCTAGTTTATGGATTACAAACAGGTAGCACACATACCACTCCTTCCTACTCCTGCACTCATGGCAGGCATAACTAACCAATTACAGCACTCTTTCCCCTGAAGCTTGGATATAGTTTCAAAATTCTTCTTAGTATAGTACTCTAGTCAGCCACTACCAATCAACCACAGTCAACTTGTGAAGGAAAATCTGTCTGCCTCCTGGCCTGGCTGGATCAAGATCAAGTGAATCAACCTTAGCATCAAGGAAGAGAGAGTTGTCACAGTCCTATATCTTCACATCCAATATTGCAAAGCAGTTTTAGGAATATAGGAGGCTCTCAGAATCTTTTGTGGCCAGTCTTTCTTCCAAACCTGGTCTTTCTATTATGATGTTTCTGAACTGGAGATAATAGACAGTGCAAGAGCTTCAGTTAGAAGAATCCAATAACCCAAGAAATAAATACTATTAGAATTGTATGCAATTTTCTACACGTAGAGGAACACATTGAAATTATGTAGCCTTCTTAGCTGTAGTTAGAGGAAAAAGATCCTGGGCAGACTTTCCTGGCTTCAGAATTAGGGAGGTAAAACTAACAGCAATATCTGAGAATGTAGCCATATCTACATTTGTGGAATAAATATTGTACTCTGGGGCATAGAATTTCAACGATCTCAGTTCCTTGGAATTCAGTGGCCTCAAAGTTATCTTCCTTGCACTGATTTATTTATCTCCAGTTTGTAATTCTTTTCCAAAAATTCAATGTTATTGGAACAGAACAAGGTTGAACACTAAAGCACACAGCATTTAAGAAATCAATACTGGACATCTGTTGTTAATGCTGCCCAGAATTCCTTCATCTTTCTACAAAGTAAGGCCTCCTGGGGAACCATCCATAACTCCAGGTGTGGACCTCAACTCTGGCCCAGCTAATCAGAGCATTGCATTTCTCTGGCCATTATGATTGGTTCAGGGATGATCACATGATCCCATCAGAACCAATAAGATGCACTGAGACTTTCTCTGCAACTGCTAGAAATGAGGCATCTCTCTATTCTCCTAAAGTTGAATCTGCGAATATGTAAACCTAAATATTTCTCAGTGAATGTGGAAGCCTGTGAGGAACGAAGCTAACATAACAGAAGGCAGAGACAGGAAGTGATGACGACACCGAGGTCTGATGACATTGTTTGGACCCCTAGGTCCAGTTTGGCAGGTGCTACTCCAGGCTCACCTCCTTCATGCAAGCTCATAAATTCACTTTTACCTGAGGTCAGTCTGGGTTAGGTATTCTGTCACTTGCAAGTATACATTTCCAAAAAGATTTGGCTCATAAGCATCAACATAATGTGGCTTCTCTTCTGTAGCTGAGGACACCTAACTCACCATGTTCTGTGTGTCATGAAGACCTCACACTTCACAGTTCCTTCTCTTTCCCCTTCCCCTTCCTCATCCTTCTGACCCAGGCTGGGTCGCATTACAAACACTTACAGTATCTTGTGCCTTTTTATTATAGCATTTATCATAAATGAAATTGAATAAGGAAGAGAATAATTAATTATATGACATCACTCTCCCTGGCTAGAATGTAGAGGTCATGAGGACAGAATAAACGCTCAATAAATATCATCTAAAAGAATGAATAAATGGATATAAATATATGAAAAAATAGAGCTATGTGCCCCCAGATGGGAACAATGTGGAGTCTTCCTGTTGGCTCTAGAATAACTATTCTATCTCACCTTGGCATGACTTATTATGAGCAAATCAATTGAATTCTAGGTGAAATTAGAATTTTCAAGTTTACCAAGAATGAAAGTCAATAATGAAATGCCATTAATAGATAAAATAAATATAAATATAGTACTTATAGTAAACATATTACAAATAAAATATAGTAACTTGGAAAAAGTCATAAAAGAATGCTAAGAAATAGTTCAGTTAATGAAACAAAAAAAGAAGATTCAACATTAAGTGATAAACCTAAAGATTTTCTGGGAATTTAAAGAGTAGCACTTACAAAATTGATCCTTGATAATATCAAATGGCCAAAATAAGTTCGATAAAAGAAGCAGATACATCTAAAATGATTTTTATAACTTTCTTCACTTTTATGAGGTTCAAAATCAGATGTGATATTTTTATGCTTTTTGGATAAGAGTTTCATTTTGGCTTTTATAACAAACATTTCTGAATTGAGAATAAAATTTATTTGCTGAGAATGAAGTGATAGAATAAATATTGTTGTTACTGAAGACCATAAGAGAGGATGAGTTAATAATATGAGCAATACCCAGCTTGGCAGGTAAATAGTATTCTAGGAAATCAGAAGCTCCTGGCCCCACCAGTAACAGTTGAGTGGCTTATTCTCTAAGCCTGGGAAAGCTACTTTGAATTGTCTTCTCTTTCTGGTTCACACAGCATCACAAAACTGTGTCAAAAGACAATAATAAGAACAAACCCTTTTATAAGGTCAGTCATGTAAATTCAAACAAGAATAATACAAACACTTGTAAATGACTTTGCAAGTCTGGCTTGAAAAGGGCTCTATATTGGACTGTATTTTCAAGGTTTCAGGGATGGTCATTTCTACAGGTTATGTCTCTTTAAAAAAAGTATTCATAGGGGCTGGTCTGTGGCTGAATGGTTGAGTTCCCAGGCTCTGCTTTGGTGGCCCAGGGTTCACCTGTTTGGATCCTGGGTGCAGACCTAGCACCACTCATCAGGCCATGCTGAGGTGGCATCCCACACAGCACAACCAAAAGGACCTACAACTAGAATATACAGCTGTGTACTGGGGGGCTTTGGGGAGAAGAAGAAAAAACCAAAAAAAGATTGGCAACAGATGTTAGCTCAGGTGCCAATCTTAAAAAAAAAAAGTACCATAAAACTTTCATTTTCTCTAAAGATTGTATTAAACTAGTCAACAAAAACAGTCCAAGTGGCCACTGAGCATCCTGGCCTAAGCCAACTTTCAGGCCTGGCAGACAATTTCCCTTTGCTAACTATGGGTCATATTCAGCTTATCCTAAGAAAGTATTGATTCAGCCGCTTTTTCCCCTTCCCAGGTCAGTGTGGTTCTTGATTCCGGATTAGAGAGTGGGATACTACAGAGCTGGGGAGTGTAATCAAAGGAACAGACCACGAGGGAAATCATTTCTCCCATGTTTGGAAAATACTTTCACGGTTGTCAGTACACCTGTCAACTTCAAGTCTTTGAGAAAGAGTTTAAATGACCTTAGAAAAATTGCCCTCTCAGTTTCTTTACCTGTGAAATGGGAGTAATAATACCTTCCCTATCTGCCTGCTTCACTGGTTGATGGGGAAAGTCAAATGACGTCATGGATGTGAAAGTGTTTGGGAATATCTAAAGTGCCTATCGACTCTACATTTATTATAAACAATAATTAAAAAGAAGACAAACCAAGAAAATAAACTATAAGAAGAGGCAAATATAATGAATACACTAACGCAGATTCTTTCAACGTTGGCACCATTGGAATTTGGGACCAGACAATCCTCTGTAGTGGGAGCTGTCCTATGCATTGTAGAATGTTTAGCAGCATCCCTGGCTTATATCTATCAGATGCCAGCAGCATCCCCTCCCACCTCCAGTTGTAACAACCAAAAATGTCTCCAGAGATTATAAAATGCCCCTTGCAGTGGGGGGCAAAATTGCCCCCAGTCGAGAACCACTGCTCTAAAGGAAAAACTGAACTTGTCCCCAACCTGAAAGCTGACACTGCCCACGGGCAGGTAGCTGTGGTCCTCCAGCATGCTCAGATATTCGGCCACTAAGGCAGCCGCGTGCACCAGGCACATGGCGGCCTCTGTGTAGCACTTCTTCTTGGTGTGTTTCTCTGCCATGTTCTGGAGCCAGGTCAGCCTCAGGTCAGGAGAGGTCTGGTAACTCTTGGCAATTCTGAAGACAGATTGAGAAAATTTCAAGGACAAATGGTTAATAACACTATTTGTGTATGGCCACTTGTTTTTCTAAAAATTTTTTCTCCCTGAGGGTTTTGCCTACGTGTTCAGAAAACGAGAGAAAAGGCAAATATTTATCAGTTCAGCTGTTTTAGTCTTATGTCTAGGGTGTGCTGGATGCCAAGAAATAACATTTAGTTTAAGCTTTAGAGGGAAAAAAAGACCTGACAAAATGATTTCTATTTTAATAGATCTTTAGTAATTTTCTTCCTTTCCTTTCCCTCAAAATAACAGAAGACAAAAGTACTACCCTTCTTATGACATCATATCAGAACAAGAAGTGGAAGACAGAGTTATAAAATAGGTATCTCACTTTCTTTCTTTTTTTTGGTGAGGAAGATTCACCCTAATCTAATATCCCTTGCCAATCTTCCTCTTTTTTTTTTTGCTTGAGGAAGATTCACCCCGAGCTAACACCTGTGCTGTCTTCCTCTGCGTTGTATGTGGGATGCCACCATAGCATGGCTGATGAGTGGAGAAGGTCCATGCCCGGAATCAGAACCTGTGAATCTGGACCACCAAGCAGAGTGCATGGAACTATAACCACTAGGCCACAGGGACGGCCCCAAGCTATCTCACTTTAAATTAGGGAGATCTTTCTGAAAACTTGTACACGAATCAACTTACTCTGAATAATTCATTTCCACCAATTTCTATATACAGTTTTGGATGCTGTCCAAAACAGTGTGCCCACGCTGCCTGTGATAATTACATTAATAAGACCTCCACAGTGGCAAACCCTAGACCTTCAAGTGATACCCTGTTGGTTGCATCAGAAAAGTTTACCTGTACATGAGATCCATAAGCATCTCAGGATCTTCCTGAAATTCCCTCATTTTCACTGTGTCATATAAGATGCTATTCAGATTGCAGAGAAGTTCCTCCACCTGCAAAAAAGCGTATGCCCCCAAACAAGTTGGTTGTAGTCCACGGGAATGAGTTAGGATTGCACTGAAACTTCAAGGGGCCACCGTGGACTGGCTTGGCTGCAAGGAGAGGTGGCAGGTAGAGGGCAGTCTACGTGGTCTTCGCCTTTGCAGAGCCAGGCGCCTCTGAGGCCCGGATGTGAGTTGGCCCTTGGGATCCATGAATTAGCCCTGAATCTTTATAGTGTCTTCCCTCTCCAAAACCTTTTTGTTTAAATTACTGTGAACTAGTGTCAGTTATGTGCAACCTGAAAAGCCCTAAACTGTACTCTTGGAACATCAGGGCTTTTTATATCAAGTAGGAGGCAGCTTAGGACCTCCACTGATGTTCCATATAATATACACGATAATATATTATATAATTATATATCAGAATTTTATATATAAATATAAATTCCGTATATTAATATAATTTATAGAATATATAACCACGTATGTAAATTGTTATACATTTTATCTATAATTATCTAGTATTATACATATACACATATATATGCATATACATACAAGTTTATAATTGATCCCAAACCCATGCATGAGACAAGGCTGCTCTTCAGTCTACCTGGGTGGGGAAAGGAGTGGACTGCATGGCGGTGTCCTCTTCTGCATAGGCCAAAATCGTCCTCAAGGACCTTCTCAGGTGCTCCTCATTAAAGTCTGGTGCTTTGCCCACTAAAGATGCCAGAGACATGGTTACTTGCATCTTCACTCTTGCAAAGTTCTGCGTCAGGAAAAAAAGAAGAAGGAACAAATAAGAGGCACTCAGCTAGTAGACAATTGAAGGCAGTAGCGCCAGAACACCAATAACTCTCCAACATTTCTTTTACCCAGTCTCAATTATTTCTTTTCTCTCAATGAAATATGAGCTAAACTTTGCACAAGATTCATACTGTTGTTTAAATGGTTTAAATGGATATTGCTCTGACATAAATCTGTCAACTCTTTAAATTTTCATTGAGGATTGGGCTGCAGCCATGCTGCACGGCTGGAAGGTTCCTACAAAGCTGAGTCACAGGATGTCTCCTTTGGTGCTAAGATTCCTCTTCTTGGGACTTTACGTAAACTGCAAAGAGGAATAGGATCTCCATGGCCAGGATTTCTGAGATCTTGGACTACAGGCGGGCAGTGAATTTGTTTCTCCTTTCCTTTCAGGCCCCTGAAAAAATATAGCTATCCTAAGTCCTCTGAGGAATGTCCTAAAAACTTTTAAATAGTTGTGCCTGAGACATTCTGAGGACCCTGTCTTTCTTCCATGGGCCAATTAAGCCTTTAATACGACTTGAGCATGCTCATGAACATGACCACAAATGTAAACTCCAAAAGAACACACCAAAGCCTAGAAAAACTAAAGCAGAGGTTGACTGTCCTGCAATAAATGAACTCCAAAAGGCTTCTAAGCCTCGATTAGAACTCAGGTCTAGATGAGACTGATTATTTCAAATTCTTTGCCACCAGCCATTCTAGCACAAGTCAATCAGAATTTAGAAACAGGACAAACCCTTCTGAATTCTTAACTTGCCTGTTGTATTTTTTCCCACAGATGACAACTTTTAATCTACATATATTTATTCATTTTTTTTATTGAAACGTGGACGGAAACCACTGCGTTCACCAGTCTTGATATTCACTTTTGGATGCAAATTCAAACAAAACCTACTATCCATCTACATGCTCAACTGTTCCCTTCACACAGGACAGGAAGTAAACTGCAATGCTGCAACCTTCTCCTCAACCAATGCTTTGCATTGACTTTCTCTGTTGATTCTGGGTCACCCAACTGGTCTGAGCTCTTACACTGGTGGCTCCAAAGCTGAATCTCATGAGGAGGTAGAGGGTGGCACAGGCTTGGCTCCGGGTGACGTCCATGCTGCTGCTGCAATGGTGCAGCACGCGCTGACACAGGTCCGCACATTGCTCCACTTCCTCCTCAAACAGCAAGTCGCCAAACTAGGAGAGACACAAGGAGTCATCAGGCATCACTTGGCACTTTCATACGCTTTCTGGACGGGATGCCTGTTGAATTATGTAAATGTCTGCTTGGATAAGCAAAAAGCCCAGAAGAGTTAATGCACTGCTTCATAAAGATAATGAGCTACTTGAGTCAGAAGATGGATGGAAGCAACAGAGTAGATTTAATTATGAACCACCAAGATCTGGGCTGCATAATTAACCGCATTGTTAGCCAGGTTGCATTCACCGACAAAGTCACAACTCTGAAGGAATTATTCTGAGTTTACTGGGTTCCCTGGAAATTACTGGTGAGTAAGAAAGAGAAAGTGATCCTGATAGGGGAGAGCGGAAGAATTCCACTTTCTCGGCGTGAAGATCCCATGTAGAAGGCACCAACTGAGATGTTTAACAAAGGGGGAGACAGTAATCTGCATGAGACCATTTTATCTGAGGAAAATCTATATTCTTCAGGCTACGAGAAATTCATTTCTAAACCTTCTGGCATTTTACGACATGACATTTTGTAAGGCTTACTAGAGGGAGTTGTGTAGGACTTTAATCTCACTCAGATGAGGTATGAAAGAAAAACGGTGAAAGGCAAAGTTGCTCAATTGATTTTTGCTCTCATGTCTCCAGTGAGTGGCCATTCCAAATTTCTATAGTTCAGCCCACCTTTCAAGTGTGAGAGCCACTGTTTTTCCTCTCCACGGTGAGTTCGCACAGAAGAGCAATGCGTGTACTTTCCTCCCAGGGATACTTAAGACTTTGACCACGATGTCACTTTTTTTTTTTCCTGAGGAAGATTAGCCCTAAGCTAACATCTGCCAATCCTCCTCTTTTTTCTGAGGAAGACTGGCCCTGAGCTAACATCCGTGCCCATCTTCCTCTACTTTATATGTGGGACACCTACCACAGCATGGCTTGCCACGTAGTGCCATGTCTGTACCCAGGATCCGAACCAGTGAACCCCGGGCCCCCGAAATGGAACGTGCACACTTAACCGCTGTGCCTCCAGGCTGGCCCCGATCACGATGTCACTTAATACAGTTCTCTACAAGTTTTGGTGCATTTGGAGAGAGAAATGTGAACCTAGACGAGGATCTTAACCCTTAATTAAGAGTAAGAAAACAAGCATCCCATGTTTACCTTGGCGATGAGAGCACGGAGTGTCGCAAAGCAATGAGTCAGGTAGGTGGTGCTCTGATCACAGCTCAGAGAATTCACCAGGACCCTTAGAACACCTCCCAGCAGGCTGTCTTTACAGTCCAGAGCCGAGGTTGCCTGGAGGAATGGAAGAACAGCATCATTGATTCCCTATGCTGTGCCAGGGAACTGAGAGGTGAAGACCCAAGTAGACACTTTCGACAATTGGCACAGTGATGCTGATGTCCCATCTCTCTTGGTCTAAGATCTTAAGGGATTGATAAGCCACCACACATATCATCCAACTATGAGAGCTGAGGACCCATTTCCGGATGACTTTAGTCCAAAACTCCCCATTGATTTGAGATTTATGCCTATTCTGTGCTGCTAAACTAACTTATAAGGCACACCTTCCCCCATTCTGGGCAGAATGTTCTTTCTTTGTATAGAAGGCACAGCTTCCCTTGTGGGCTTCAATACACAATTGTGGGCTTCCCAGTCCAAGAGGGGCTGCTTGGTGGCAGTGATGTTTCTAAATAGAAGCTTATTTATCAGAGACAGCAAGATTAACACCACCAGAAATAATGACAAATAAATGTCAGCTTTCTTGGAAAACTGCAAATACATTTTCAGGGTGCTAAGTACATAGCACTCAAAGCAGTGTTGTATAAAGATAAATCAATGTGATGCCACATATTTAACTTATCAAAGATACCACAGACTTTTTTGTCTTTATTTTTGTACAGTAATTACTTTGACTTTAGACAACTTAAAAGTCGGATATCTAAGGTTCCACTGTGTTTCAAAAATATTTCTTCTTCTAGACCTAAAAAGCAATACCAGATCTACTCTAATAAATGATTTCTCATTGGAAACATGAAAGGACTCATTTTTCAGGTTAATTAAAAACCTATTATCACCTAGGGAATTTCTGGAAACATTCACTTAGAAGATGAAATTAGTATGGTGAATTGGATTACTGCAAAGTTCACAGTGGAATTGTGCTTTTCTAAAACAGGGATGGCAAATTCATGGTACAAATGACTTTCCCCTACTAATTTCTGTCCAAAACAGACACACTCTTTTTTACGTAGTCCAGTCACAATCCTAGCTCCCATACAAGACATCAACCGTAATTCTAAAGAGTTGACCCATCAAAAAACCCCAGCTACCATCCCTATTCTAGATCCTGAACTATCAGCCCACCATCCACATCATAAATGTGGTACACACTCAGGCAGATTTAACTACGACGGTCAGCTTGTCAAGCAGCTGACTCTTTCCAAGAGAACAGCACGTCCAAGAAGCCGGAAGAATGTTCGGTATCTCTGGAATTTGTAAGGTAGACACTACTGTAAACAGTAAACTGCCCAACTTCATTTTTTAAAAGAAGTCATTTTGGGATCATGTTTCTTTCTTTTACAAGTTTCTATAAAGAATTCTTTATTAAATTCCAATAAACATATTCACGTTGAATAGATCAGGTGTTTGTTGTCCTCACCTGGATTATGTTTTCCTGCATATCCAGGATGATTAAATTTGCTTCCGTGGCCAGATTGCCACTGATTAAGGCTTCTTGATCTAATTCTGCCTTTGTTCTAAGAAACAAAAAAAAGAGGTCAAAGTAAAGTGCATGCCAAACCTAGCCATACCCCAATGATGGCACTCTACGAAAAAGGCATAAAGGAATCGTCTGAATAGTCAATCTTGAAGTGAATACAAAGCAGCTGGCTACAGGTAACTAAGGAGTGCAGGGGCCTTTTTATGATTAGTATCTGGCTAAAAGATTTTCTAGGTAAAGTCTCCAGGCCATCCTCATCCCCATTATTATGAATAATGATGACAATTATAAAAATAACAAAATGGGTAGAAAAGCAATTATTGGTTACAATTAGGCTAGCCAATCAGATGGCTGTGTAAAGCCTCAGGGCCATTCCTGAATTTCATGCATGAGAACTATCTCTAGATCTGAGCCAAGGGAAGCTTCTGCAACAAGCTGGAGGGAGGGAGACTCGGTGGGACGTGAATTTGGCAAATAGTGATGCTGCTGGATTAGGAAAGGGTGATGTTCCAGAACTGGGTCAGAGAACAGTCAGTCTGTTGACTCCCTGAAGACTGCCTTGGGGTTGCACAGTCAAGTGTGGGCCTTTTTTCCTTTTCCAATGGGAAGCAAGGTTGCGTTCCTGTGGGGCAGGCCTCCTAACATCCTGCTGGACGCTACCGATTATTACCCACTAGGGAATGCGAAATTGTCTGGTGCTACTTCTCTATTAGGTATCATTTTAAGGCATCAGATCATTTCATGCACCAGTTCCTCCATTTTCATAAAATCCAAGGGAAGCTGGAAATGGATATTTTATATCATCTAAATTTAGTTGCCAGGAAAGGGAAATGTGAAGAACTGACTTTCCCAAGATGTCCCAGTGGCCCAAATGCTAGCACAGAGGTTGGGGCATCGTGCTGAGAGCTCAAAGTTTTGGCCCAGGCTCACCACTTAGCTCTTCTTGGGTTCCCTTCACCCAAGAATGTGGGCATGATCGCTGCTCACATACCACTGAGGGCTCAGAATAAATACTTCCCTGTATTTTAAATGTTTTCACGCTTAGGATAGCTTCTCTGGTCCCAAGATGCTCTACGTTTTTTCTCATTCTTCAATTGATATTTGTGTAAAATAAGTGAAATAGAAAAGCTACTTTTTATTAATTTACTGGTAGGCTTAGATTTGGAGCAATGCTAGCTAACAAAAACATAATAGGGGCCACATATGTCTCTTTCTATCTTTAGTAGCCTCACTGAAAAAAACCAAAGAAACAGGTGAAATTAATTTTTATGTATTTTATTTAACTCGAGATATCAAAAAATATGGTCAAGGTATAATCACTATAAAAATTACTGAGATAGTTTACATTCTTATATTTGTACTGAGTCTTCAAAATCCAATCTAAAAACTACTAATGAGATATTTTACATTCTTTTATATGTCCTAAGTCTTCAAAACCTGTTTGTATTTTCCCCTATTATTACTACTGTGGCTACTGTACTGCATCAGTGCAGCTCTAGAGTGTCCTAATTTGGTTTATTTCCTTGTTTTTTTATTGTGGTAAAATATACAGAAGATAGAATTTACTGTCTTAGCCATTTTTAAGTGTACAGGTCAGTGGTGTTAAGTACATCCTATTGTTGTGCAACCCTTACCACCACTAATCTGGTTTTTAGAAAGCCTACTAACTACTCCTTTAAAATAGTGGTTCTCAAATCTGACTGCATAACAGAATCACCTGGGGAGTTTGACCAAATACCAGTTTCTGGGTCCCGCCACTGGAGACCCTTTATTAATAGGTCTGGGGTACATCTGGGCCCTGGACGCTTTAAAAAGCTCCGCCCGGTGATTTCTAATGTGCAGCCCAGGTTGAAATTGCTGCTCTAAAAGAAACAGAACCAAAATAATTGAAAAGTGATTTGAAAGAAAAAAGTGACAGATACTTCTATTATAATTACAAAAAGTTTTCCAAGTAGCTAAATCGAGCAGTCACAATTTTACCATGGTTTCTCTTAAAAAAAAACAAAGCAAACAACATTGCCCTTGAGACTCTCCATTGGTGACTCTTGGCTCTGACAGTGAGCAGCCCCTGTGTAGCTCAGGGCTGAGAGCTGACCTAGAGAGAATCGGGTCAGCCTGCACGGAAAGGCTCCATGTTGTGTTGTTTCTGCAAACCAAAGGGAACGGTTTCCCAAAACATTGAGGTACACGCCCAGGCAGAGCACGCTTTGTGCAGCTCTTTCAGTCGCACAGAGTGGACGGCCTTCTCATCTGAGCAGTTTGGTAGCACCCCACTACATTCGCATTTCTTTAACGTTTTTTTGAAGGTGGGGGCGATTCATTGCCTGAACTAGAACTTACAGACTCCCAGAACCAAAGATCTTATAAATCAGTTCAGGGAACTTAGAGCAAGAATAAAATACCCAAAGCAAATACACATTATCCATAAGACCAGCAACTGGGCTTTCGAAGTAATACCTATAAAAAAAATGTTTATCTCCTTCATGTTTTAAAATAAATTTGACTCCCAAAAGTCCCATAAGTGGACCAGAAAGATTCATTCTTATGTTAACAACAAAGACAGTAATTTATATTTACTTACAAAACAACAGTGCTAGTCAAATCTGCCCCACGCCCACCCCTTATGATGAGTGCCTTATACGCCATGGGGTCACCCTACTTACATCTGGCCGTGTGTGTGGGGGTTTGTCTTTAGCCATATAATGTTTTGTTCAGTGAACCCTAAGATTCAGTGGGCTACCTGCTGCCAAGAGGAATAGCAGACATGTGCTATCTTTTCAAACAATTTAGTTTTAGCCCTCATATATCCAAATTGTTGCATATATAGCAATACGTATATAGCATATGTTGCAATCCAAGCAGGATTTTTCTTTACTTCTCTAGAATTTTTTTATGATAATAATATACATTATAATACATATCTATTATAGTAAATACAGCAAAGCATAAAGAAGAAAACATCAATTACTTGTATTCTCCAAAGAAAACCATGGTTAATTTTTTGTTAAATTTCCTTCTGGTCTTTTAAAAATGTATTTACTATATGTAGTTAGAGATTTAATATTATACTCTAAAACCAAGTGTCTATCCTGCCTTTGTTCACTTAATATTATATCATAAGCATTTCCCATGTCATTGAAATGATTTCAAAACATTTTAATGCCAACCTAATATTTCATAACATATTTGCCTAATCTTAAGCATTTAGAATGTTCCAATTTTTAAAAAATAATTTTATGTAATGTTGACATAAATATCCCTGAATACAGATCTTTGTATACATTCCTGGAGTGGAAATATGGATTGAAATGATGAGGTGGTACCCTGTCCTGCCCCCCATCAGCAGCTTTGGTTAAGCTCTCTGAGATTGCTAAATATTAGTTTTCTTTAAATGCTTATCAATGTGATAAATGTTTCAGAGCTGAAAATCATAACTCCCTATACCTTAATTATCCTGGGTCCCTGGATGACCCGAATTTACACAGATAATGATGTTTCATTTTCTTACCCTTGGAAGGATGTAGTTATTTCAGTAATACAAGTAGCCTGGGAAAAATAGTTTTGGACTTTAGGTAAAAGTAGCACAAAGTTGCTGAGTTACTCACTTATCTAGCTTCTCATTAGCTTGCCGCCAATGTGTCTGCTCTTTCCTCCATCTCAAATTTTCATTTAGGCCTGGAAATCGGTCATTCCCTAGGAGTTAAGAAATGCACGAGAGGAATTTGATTAGCGTGAAACCTTTCAAGATAACCAGAAGTTCCCTAACAGGCTAACTGAGGAGACTCAGCACCGCTTCTCCGGCTAATTAGAGTCCATGCTGGATGCTGGTAGGAGACATGCCCGTGACCACGTCCCAGCTGGCCCGCTCCGTGATTGACAGGCTAGAGCTTTAGAAGAAGCCCTGCCTTTCTGGAGTGTTGGTGACCGCATTTCTCATGAACATAGGGTTCTGGTGAAATCGGGGGTTCTCATTGAATTATTGCAAAGGAGAGTATGGGTGTTGAATGAGGGTGCCCAACAACCACTGAAAAATCTGAGCTCCCTCCAAGTTCCCGGCCGTTGAGTCCCATTGCATAGAAGGAGCTATCACTCTGTTTGACTTGGAGCACAGTGAATAAGACTGAGGGGAGCTGAGTGCTTCACTCTATTCTACAGTGATGAGCGCAGCCTTTTTGAAATCATTCCTGGTGTGGTGGGGTCCCTGGAGAACTGGAATGCTCTGAGACGATTGGGGGGATTGGTTCCATTCTAACAGTGCCCTGAATGATTTGGGGATATGATCTTCGAACCAGAACTATCCAGTTTCTTGACTGCTCCAGATAGACTAGTCACATGTCCCACAGTGAGGCTTCAGCCTTGAGGGAGACACCATTCTGTCTCATCCTATGACTCACATTATTGAAGGTGACCTTTTACCAACAAGTTTTACATAGAAGACACCATTTGGGGACACTTCCAGGGTTCCTGCGATCTCAGGAAAGCAGCTTTTCCTTAGAGGCACAGGGCTATGATGACATACATCATGCACAGCATTCTAGAACCTGTCTGTCTCTATTACCGTCATGTCTTCAGAAAGTGACGGTGTCAAAGCATGTCGGAGGACATTCCTTCCCATGAAGGGTACAAAACTCCCCAGCAGAAAGCAGGGAAGGGCCGATCTCACACACCTGGAGTCCGGCAGCGCCGCATCATCTCTCCTCTGGCCCCTTCCCCGCGGAGCAAAGCCTCTTCCAGCCTGGCCTTGACATCCCTCGACTTCTGCAGGACCTGGGTACTCACTTTGTCAGAACTCTGCTTTCCCTGGACAGGAGAGAGGCAGAAGGACATTTAGTTTGGTGAGATCTCTGCCCATGGAGAGAATCCTCAAAACAGAATGCCCCACAATGACAGCAGCCAGTTTGGACATGTGCTACATGGAGACGCTGTTCTAGGGGTTCCTGTGGCTGAAAGCCTGTTAACAGGAATAGGGTTCTCTCTGTGGAAGGCAGAGATGCTTTCCCTGTGGAATTATCATATCTATAATGCAAATAGGTTATGGATTTTAATACAGAAATAAGAAAAATTAATGATCCTTCCATTGCCCAAATCCAGGGGAACAGTGACAAGGCAGGACTGAACTTGGGAGATAAGAGCTGGGGTAAAGCTGAGCAGCCCCACACATACCTTGTACTCAAAACACGAGACACAGATGAAAAGGAGATCTAAAATCCTATTCAGTTGCATCGATGGCAGGTCGGCAATCCACTTCCTAATGAGGCTCTGATCAGCATTTTTCATGATCCAGAGGAAGCAAATCATGAGGTTGCGGGTGGTGTCGGCGTTCAGCATGTTGTACTGCTTGTAGGGCTGGAAAGAGGCGGGTTGGGAGATGGACGCGGGGGAAGAAGCTGAGCAGCAGAAACACCGAAAGCTTAAGGGGTGCTAATCTCTTAGAACACAGTAACTGTACTGCTTCCTTAGCTGGGGAACTACGTCCAGGATCTCTCCCTTTCCTGAGCAGGGGAGGCCGTGTTCTTTGAGCTGGGCTGCTCAGCAAAGGGGCTCGCCTGGAGCAGTATTTGAACCAGGCTTTCCGCCAGGTAACTGTAGGCGCCCTCTGTCTCAGGAGTAGTGTGGTCTGGTGGTCCACTCTGGACCTTGACCCTGCCCCCCGCCCCCCCCCCAATCTCCAATGATACAGAGGCCCTTCCAGGCTGCTAATTAAGATCTCCAAGTATTTCTCCTTCGAGCTGGACACTGAAGGGTTGGACTTATAGCCCAAGACTAGCCTGGCTGGGTTCCAGAAATACCCTAACTGTTCAAGATTTAGCTTCTTGGTCACAGAGTCCGAAGTCTAATATAAGGGTCATGAGCTGCTCAACAAATTAATCAAATCCATAGTTTTGCGGAGTCCTCTGTAACGGGCCTTTAACGACAATTTATCTTTTCCTAGGGTGGAGGGCGTGGGGCTCGGGTTACTTGCTTTAATTCTTTGGCCATGAGTGTTCATTTTAGAGGGCTGAGCACACTTTGTGTTACTCATCAAATTAACCCAAAGAACAATATGTGGCTGCACCCTTGATTCACGTGGCGCAGCTAATATCCAATGGAATGCAGCGGGGAAACCGCAGCGAGGTAGTCGTGAGTGTGGGAGGGGACTGCTACTTTTGGATGGGAATGAGAGGGCTTATGAAGTTACTCTAACTTTGGTTTTTCTGAGTAGGGTGACGAGGAGAAATGAAATCTTTAGGTGTACTATAACTTCACAGAGAATCCCCTTCAATGGGTTAACTTTGGGAATCTGAGTGTCTCCAGTAGAGGCAAATAACCATGGAAAAGACACCCCCTGCCTCAAGCCCCTAACTTTGGTAAGAAGGATACTAGAAAGGGGGAGGAGGTCATAAAACACAATATTGATCAAACTATAGGATGAGTGATGTCAAATCTCAAGTGTCTTTTCTCTTTCTTACCTCCTTGCTCTCCAACTTGCATGGGGGTGTGCTGGGGAATGGGGGTTACTAAGTGCCGGAGGGAAGAGGAGAAAGTCTTCCAGTAAAGATGAGTTAGGTCTAGATGCTGCCTTCCCAGGAGAGAACTGAGTTCTCTGCAGATCTATACCCTACACTGAAACGCCAAGTTAAATTAAGCTGGAGGATGTAGTGCGGTCTTGACAAAGGGACAGCCAGAGCTCATTGAGGAACAGAGACAGATCCACCTCAGATGAATCAGAGGTTGTACTCCTGGAGGACGCCCCCTTAAGCCCACAGAGTCTGTGCAGAAGGACAGAGACAAACAACTCTGCTTAGGCCCCCTGGGGACCTAGAAAGGCTGAAGTCTTTTGCTTAAGAAGGGCTCTACCAAGCGACTGGCCCCCTTCAATCTTTTTCTGGAGGCAGACACAGTAGGAATGATGAACACAGAGAACAAACATAGCTCAAGCCTTCCACCTGAGGGAGCCTTGGTTTGACCTCCTTTGCAGTGGTCTCAGATTTTCCCCTCTTTCCTGGTTTTCTGAGCCTTGAACTTGGCACTACTGAGATTGCCTGAACTCAATTTGCGGTTGCCAGACTCTGTTTGACTGTGTGCCGCCTCATGTGCCATTTCCCTCCACAGTTGCCAGCCCCACAACGATTTCTTCCAGCGTCGAGCAAGGAGGCAGAAATCTCACTGCCTGCTCTATGATGCTGGGTTCTGGGCGAATGTAAGAATGAGCCCATCAGAAGATGATGGGAAAAGACACAAAACAAAAAATAAACCACAGAAATGTGCACCAACATACCAAGGAAGATAGCATTGTTCCACTCGTCTTCAAATTAAAATTATTCCCAGCTATGGCCAGTGCCACATTCTGGTTAATGGCACTGGTCCCTTCTTGTTCTTCATCTGAGCCATTGGAGCGATTTTTTCCACTACGGGCATCTGCAGCTGCAATAAAAACATCATTGGTCTTACTATATGATCCAGCAGTCTTGCTCCTTGGTATTTACCCACAGGAGCTGAATACTTAGGTCTACAGAAAAATCTGCACACAGATGTCTATAGCAGCTTTATTCATAACTGCCAAAACTTGGAAGCAACCAAGACGTCCTTCAGTAGATGAATGGATAAATAAACTGTGGTACATCTAGACAATGGAATATTATTCAGTTCTAAAAAGAAATGGGCTATCAAGCCATGAAAAAACATGAAGGAAACTTGAATGCATATTACTAAGTGAAAGAAGCCAATCTAAAAAGGCTCCGTACTGTAGGATTCCAACTATATGATATTCTGGAAAAGGGAAAACTACAGAGACAGTAAAAAATTCAGTAGTTGCTAGGGGTTAGTGGGGAGAAAGGGATCAAGAGGCAGAGAACTGAGGAATTTTAGGGCAGAGAAACTACTCTGTATGATACTACACTGATGGATACATATTATACATTTGCCCAAACCCTTAGAATATACAACACCAAGAGTGAACCCTAAAGTAAACTATGGACTTTGGGTGACTACATTGTGTCAGTGTAGGTTCAGCAACTATAACAAATGTACTTCTCTGGTGGGGGAAGCTGATAATAGGGGAGGCTATGCACGTGTAGGGACAGGAAGTATATGGGAAATCTCTGTATTTTCCCCTCAATTTTACTTTGAATTTAAAACTGCTCTAGAAAAATTCTTAAAAAAAACCTTTGGTGATGTCAAGCCAAAGGTAGTGTTTCTCTATGTCCCCTACCCAATACCCAATGTATGACTGGTATTTATTAGTCACTAAGTCAGCACAGTAATTTTAAACCTGACAAATGTTTAGCATTATCTGCTACCATCCATAGGAAAATGCAGGCCGGCCAATAAAAAAGCCAAAATGTCCAGCACAAGATTAGGCAAAAACTAATTTTTCAAATTATAAAAATAAAAATTTTCAAAGCTTTCATAACACTTTCCTGTTACTTGCAATATTTAAAAAATTTATTCATATATTTTAAATAATGACCAAATAGAAATGAACCTATAATTACAGATTTAAACAGGTACTTTATTGAATAATAAGCTATTATCACAAATTCAGCAATAATTTATTAAATTTCAAATGTTTGGGATGAATGTTAGTTTATTGTATCTATGTAATATAGACATATCTATATTTATACATAGATCTAGATGTATGCAAACAAAAAAGCACCCACCATTTAAAAGGTTGGTTTTTAAGAATACCACCAATTACACACACAGAAAGAGTATTTGTTTAAGCAGTTCTTAGAAAAGTGTGTTAAAACATTTGCAACTGGTTAATTAAAAACTCATATTTTGTTAGACCTGTCAACATTTTAAGTATTTGGACCTTCAATTTCTCAGAAAAATTAGAATGCGAACAGTATTTTTATCTACCAAAGTTCTGAAAAGAGAACTCAATTTTTTTTGAGAACTCAATTTTTTAAAATAATAATTTACCATTGCTTTTTAAGGAAACCGGATTTTGAAACAAATGGTAAAATGAATAGCACATAGAAATTATACAATGATATCATTATCAGGATTAATTTGAGGATGCATTCTTACTTCCCCTAAATACGCGTAGGGTCATGGTTATAGGAAAAGGGGGGACGGATATAAACATTTGCTGCATTAAATGCTTTTTAGGTGATCTCTCATTTCATCTTTATCACACCCTTAAAATGTAGACATTGTTAACACATTTTTACAGTTGAGGAAAGGGAAGAGATGTCACTGGAAGGCTGGGGAATTTTTCAAGGGTCCCATATAGTAATAAATTGGCTGGAATTTAAATTCAGCTGTATCTTTTTTTAAAGACCATATTCTTATTAGTTTATCAATCTAAAGATTCCATATGTAATAGATGCACTGTAATAATATTACCTATAATAATAGAATACTTTAACTGTCTTCCCACTTGTCAGCTACATCATGGCCATAAAGTTCATTGCATACGGAAAGAAACCACTGAGATTTAAAAGGCTCAAAGACCAAGTGCTGAAAGGTTCTGATCCAAAGTGGTTGATTTGGAAAATTTCTAATCAACAAGGAAGCTTTGGAGAATGTGTGCTAAGGTGGTATCCTGCTTGGGGAACAAACAAGTCATAGGTTTTCGAATGAAACTTTCTAGAAACTTCCAGGTGAAGATTCTAAATATGGCCTGCAAGTCACCTGCCATGCTCTGAAATGCATCCTTAAATTTTGAAGACAACTCTGTTCTCAATTTGCCCTCCAGTCGGGCACTACCGGAGGAAGCTCTGTGCATCTCACTGTACAGCCCACTCACCCCTGTGTCCAAGCTTCCTTCTTTAATTTCCTTGCCTATGTTTTGGGGCTCATTTTTATGAGCTAAAAATTGTCACCACAATGGTAACGTAGTCACATGTGCAACTCTGCATTTGGAGTAAGCAGGAAAACCTGGATAGTTCCAAGATTCCAAGGATAGCTGCCTGCAAGGATGCTGGGCTCAGGCAAGCAGCCCTCAGCGTCCGGCATCAGTCAAGAGAGTGGCATGGTAATTTCTAAGAACTCCCCTTGAGTTGAGGGAAAAGCAAGAACTACTCTGAAGCGATCGGAATCTTTCATGTGTGTGTTTTGGGGCGAGGTAGGCGGATGGGGTTGTTTTTCTCAGGTTCGGGTAGTTTCATTTGTCTACATCCCCTAATCCACACCATAATATGCAAATAAACTCAGGAGGTGCGCCATCCCCTTTCAGACAAGGTATCCCTTCCTCTTGCTGCTAAGTGGGAGATGCTGACTTCCAACCTTAGAACCAGCCTTAGTGCCAAAGGCAAAATTCATCTGCCATGGCAGAATTTCCTAATCCTGAAAGACACCATGATATTTTTTGGCATGGAACGATTGTATAGGTTCATCTGAGTCTGCCTCTTTGCTTAACCATTCATAAAAGAAAAGAGAAGGAACACTTTTATTTCAAGGCGTTAGAGCAGCAATCTCTAAAGAGAGAAATTCTATTATTATTTCATCTTTCGTGGTGTACGGTTTACAAAGTTCATTGTATACCAGCAGACCAGTGAATGAATGAATAAACAAATAAATAATTTCTAAATAAAAAACATACACAGGGCCATGTGCTTCTTTAAGAAAATACCGATTGGGGCCTGTGTTAAACAGGTCTGGAGAGCACTGGCATGGAGAATTACTCACACAGGCGTGGCAGCCCAGAGCTAAGGACAAACCTTATTCCAGTGGGGCATTTGGCAGGGGCCCCCATCAATCCAAAGAAGGAAACAGAAGGCATCATTACCTGTAAAGTCATAGAGCTGCGGCAAAGCATCCAAAATGATGCCAACCAATGGCAGGTAAAGGGCAGCAATTTTGACCTTCACCTCTGGTTTGACACAACGCGGGTCCAGGTCGTGAGAACTTAGCAGGCTGTGGATGGCACTGACAGCTTTCCTTTGCACTTTGCTGATCCTGTTGGCACAACACAGAAAGCTAGAGGTTATGGTGAAGGGAGATTGACCAGAATGCTCCTAAACAATGGGTGACAATAGGAAAACCAAGCAAAACAGGGTAGAAGTGCGTAGAATCCAGAGACATTGCCTGTGTCCTAGTCGTGGGGCTGCTGTTAGCATGTTTTAAAGTTCATCACCTTGTAGCATGGGTACTTCATTCCTTTTTATTGTTGAACAATTTTGCACTGTACGAATATATCACATTTTATTTATCCAGTCATCAATTAGTGGACATTTGGATTGTTTCCAATTTTTGCCTATTAAAAATTATGACTGCTGCTATAAATATTCATGTACACATATTTATGTGCATATAAGGTTTATTTCTCTTGCATAGATACTTCAGAGTAGAATTCCTGGATCATATGGTAACTCTATGTTTAACCTTTCGAGGAACCACCAAACTGTTTTCAGCAGTGGCAACACCATTTTACATTCCCACCAGCAGTGGATGAAGGTTCCATTTTCTCTTTGTCGACACTTGTTATTATCAGTCTTTTTTATTATAGCAATCCTAGTGGGTATGAAGGTGCGACGGACTGAATGTGTCCTTCCCAAATTCATAGGTTGAAACCTAATCCCCAAAATGCTGGTGTTTGGAGGTGAGGCCTTGGAGGGGATTAGGTCATGAGGGAAGAGCCTTCATGAATGAGATTAGTGCCCTTATAGAAGAGACCCCAGAGAGCTCCCTTGCCCCCTTCTGCCATGTGAGGAGACAGAGGGAAGATGGCCATCTATGATCTGGTGGGTCCTCACCAGACACAGAATCTGCCAGTGCTTTGATCTTGAACTTCCCAGCCACCAGAACTGTGCCAAATAAATTTCTGTTGTTTATAAGCACCCAGTCTATGGTACTTTTGTTATTACAGTCCAAAGGAACTAAGACAGACGGTATTTAACCAGTTTTTCTTCTTCTTCTCCCCAAAGCCCCCCTGTACATTATTGTATATTCTAATTGTAGGTCCATCTGATTGTGCTATGTGGGAGCCACCTCAGCATGGCCTGATGAGCGGTGCCATGTCCACGCCCAGGATCCAAACCTGTGAACCCCTGGGCTGTTGAAGCAGAGCGCACAATCTTAACCACTCAGCCATGGGGCCGCCCTTAACTGGTTTTGATATGAATTTCCCTAATGGCTAATGATGTTGAATATCTTTTCATGTGCTTATTGGTCATATATTCTTTGGAGAAATGTCTATTCTAATCCTTTTCCCTTTAAAAAATTGGGGTATTTGTCCTTTTATTATTAAGTTGTAAGATTTAAAAAATATATTCTAGATACAAATCCCTTATTAGATCTATGATTCGCAAATATTTCTCCCATCCTGTATATTGTCTTTTCACTTTCTTGATGATGTCCTATAAATCACAGAAGTTGTAATTTTAATGAAATCTAATATCTATTTTTTCTTTGTTGCTTGTACTTTTGCTGTCAGATCTGAGAAACCATTGCCTAGTCCAATTTCATTAAGATTATCCCTATGATTTCTTCTGAGTTTTATAGTTTTAGCATTTACTTTTAGGGTTTTGATCCATTTTGAGTTAACTTTCATATATGGTGTGAGATAGGGTCCAACTTCATTCTTCTGAATGTGGATATCCAGTTATCCCAGTATCATTTTTTGAAAACATTTTTTTTCCCATTGAATTGTTTTGCCACTCTTGTCAAAAGCCAAGTAACTATCAATGTGAGGATTTATTTCTGGACTCTTAATTCAATTTCATTGATCAATATACTATAGATGTCATTCATCTTCATGTCAGAACCACATAGCCTTGACTACTTTTGCTTTGTAGTAAGTTTTGAAACTGGGAAATGTGAGTCCTCTGATTTTGTTCTCTTTCAAGTTTGTTTTGGCTATAATGGGTCTTTTGAATTTCCACATGAATTTCAGGATGAGTTTGTCAATTTCTGTAAAGAAGCCAGCTGGAATTTTTAGAGGAATTGCCTTGAACTTGTGGATCAATTCAGGGGGTATTGCCATCTTAACAATATTAAATCTTCTGATCCATGAATACATTATGCCTCTCCATTTATTTAGATCTCTTTGTTTCTGTCTAAAGTGTTTTACAGCTTTCAGTGTACAAGTCTAGAACTTATTTTGTTAAATTTATTCCTAAGAATTTTATTCTTTTTGATGCTACTTCAAATGGAATTGTTTCCATAATTTCATTTCAGATTGTTCATTGCAAGTGTATAGAAATATAATTGATTTTTATACATTGATTTTGTGCCCTGCACCCTTGCTGCACTCATTTATTACCTTTAATAGTTTTTTACTGGGTTCCTTACGATTTTCTATAAACAAATCATATCATCTGTGAATAGAGAGAGTTTTACTTCTTCCTTTCCAATAGGGATGACTTTCATTTCATTTTCTCACCTAATTGCCCTGGGTAGAACTTCCACTACAGGGTTGAATAGAAGTAGCAAGAGTGGGGCCAACCTGGTGGCGCAGTGGTTAAGTTTGCACATTCCGCTTCGGCGGCCTGGGGTTTGCTGGTTTGGGTCCTGGGTGCAGATGTGGCACTGCTTGGCAAGCCATACTGTGGCAGGCGTCCCACATATAAAGTAGAGGAAGATGGGCACGGATGTTAGCTCAGGGCCAGTCTTCCTCGGCAAAAAGAGGAGGATTGGTGGCAGATTTTAGCTCAGGGCTAATGTTCCTCAAAAAAAAAAAAGGAAGTAGCAAGAGTGGCCATTCTTGTCTTGTTCCTGATCTTAGAAGGAAAATATTCAGTCTTTCACTAATAAATATGATGTTAGCTGTGGGTTTTTCATAGATGCCCTTTATTAGATTGAGGAAATTCTCTTATATTCCTATAGGATGTGCTGAGTGTTTTTAACAGGAAGGGGTATTGAATTCCGTCAAATGCTTTTTCTTCATCTATTGAGATGACTGTAAGCGAGTTTCGTCTTGTATTCTATTTGTATAGTGTATTACATCAATTGATTTACAGATGTTAAACCAATCTTGCATTCCTGTGATAAATCCTATTTAGCTATGATAAATCCTTTTTGTATATCGTTGGATTCAGTTTGCCAGTATTTTGTTGAGAATATTTACTTCTATATTCATATTGGTCTGCAGCTTTCTTGTGATGTCTTTATCTGCTTTCGGTAATGCCGGCCACACAGAATAAGCTGAGAAGTGTTATCTCCTCTTGTATTTATGGGAAGAGTGTGTTAGGATAGGAATTCATTCTTTAAATATTTGGTAGCGTAACACAAAGATGCTAGATAATTCCCACATGCTTGTAGAACACTATGGATTTAATGATATGTGGACATTTGTGGACACCTCGAGGTCAGGGCGGTTCTAGGGAGATCCATGAGAAACTGGAGCCATGGTTCCTTGCATGGGTCCAGGTACTGAGATGTGTGCCACTGGCCCTTGCACCACAGATGCGCAGGTGTTGGTGAGTCTATAAATTGTCTTGGCAGAAAAGGAAGTATTGATCCAGAGCAAGTATTGTTAAAGCATAAGATTTTTCTGAGGTTTTAGCCCCACATGGTAAAGTCTGTGACAGTATTTCTAATGACTTCCCAGGAGAATAACTGACAACTCAGCAATCAGGGATTATTGCGTTGCCAAAGGAATGACACTCTTAATTAGTTACCGTCTGGGGGGTAGAGAAGGTACCAAGGGTGTGTGTGTTTGAAGAGTGTATCTATCTGATTGAACATAATTACATGATGACATCTGAACATACTCTACTCTGTTGCTAGTAAAATTATGTGAACAATTTTAACAAGAAATCAAAACAGATGTCTGGGCTGTTTCCTTAGACATCTCACTAGAAGGAAATGGAAAGTAGAAACTACTGCTAATGTAAATACCAAAGAGTACTTTCAGACATCACTTAAAGCAGTGCTATTAAAGGACAATCAAGAAAAAGTGTGTGTTTGCAGATGAAGGCAATTTTCTAGGTGCTCAAATCTCCTTCTCAGCATATGACTCAGGGCACTTGGTGTTGCTTTGGAAATTTATGTTAGTTATAGGGTAGAAAGTTCTGCTGAGAAAACTGAGAGGAGTTTAGTTAGGGTTGAGAGAAGAAGACGAAATGGAAGCCTTGGAAAATGAAGCTCTCTAAGGATACACTTAGAACCTGAATTTCTGGAAGGAGGCAGAACTTAGAGCTAAGAACATGAGATTTCCACACTGCCCTTCTAGGTGACAGAGACACGCATTCACTTAGGCAAGATCAGTATGGGCAAAGTGCTTAGAGTACATTTGTCAGTGCAGTTACGCAAACTCGGATGTGCTCCTATAATTGTTTCCTGCATGGATGTCCTGTTTCCTTCACTAAGTTATAAGCACTTTGAGAGAACTGAGAACTTCCAATTAGACAAAAATCTGTAACATACAGAAACGCTGCCATTAACCAGTATACTTTATTCCAGAAACTTCTTTAGCAGAGGAAGAAAAGACTGTATGAGTTATAGGCATAGTCCCCAGGCAGGCAGAATTTGTGGTGTGGAGAGTGGGACCTAGCGAGGGACTCAGGAGACCAGACTCTGGATTTGGTTCTGCTACGTAACTTGGGGCAACTTCCTTCAATTCTGCAAGCCTAATTTGAACACCAAAGGGATGAACCTAAATTATTTCCCAATCCTAATGATCTTGGGATCTGAGTCCCTGAATGGTGAGCTCTATGAGGGAGGGCATTTTGTCTGTTTTATGCACTATCTCTGATATACTCCAACACTCAACTGTGTCTGCCCCATGGTGGGCATTCAGTAATTGCCGAATGGAATGTATAATATTTTGGAAGGCATTGTCTCCTTCTGTCCAATCAGGTAGGCAATGGTTTTCTGATCCTATGGCTCATGGAGCATGGGGAGAGAAAGAAAGAAGAAGGGGGTAGTCTGCCACCATCCCTGTCTGTTGACTTCAAGGCTAGATACTGCCACATGCCCCTGGATGATCGGGTTTATAAGAGGTGAAAGGATTTATAAGTCCTGGACCTGTGGCATCTCTCTTAGTCTGGGACGGTCTCTTTGCAAGAAACCCAACCTGGACATAGTCCAACTGCCCTCTCATCAGCACCCACTTCCTTTGTCAGCATTGAGCCAAGTGGCATCTTGCTGCTGCCTCTGTGTGCACACAGATTATTACCCAGGGGCATGTGTTAAAATTGCTTTGTTCCTGAGGAGTTTACTAATCAAAGCATCCCTGGGAAGCCTGCTTTACTAGCATTGGCAAATTCTTCTCAGTGAATAAGTGGCTGAAAAAAGCCATTTTATGCTTTCTCTCCTTCCCACATGCCTTTCCACCTTCCTGTTGGTACCATTTTTTCAAAACACAGATGCGTCCACTCTTTGGAACTAGTGAAAGAGTATTTCACCAAGCACAAGAGGTCAGACTGCAATCTTTAGTAAGGAGCATCTTTGTTTTTTTGCTTCATACTCCATTTTAAATGTCAGAAACATACCCTTCCCCTTCAGCATCCAAGGCAGCAGCCAGTTCAGTAAAGAGAAGGCCAGTGAGAAAGTGCTGCTGGCGGTACTCCGGAGTCAGATCGAACATGCTGGCGATCTTCTGGTCCTGGAAACTGGAGCAGGAGCTTGAGTTCTACAGAAATGCAAGGAGCAGTTCTATGAGTATCAAGAACTAGAATTAAAATCATGATGGCTAGTATTTATTGAGCACATGCTACGGCTGGGCTTTGTGAGCACTACCCAGTGAGGCAGGTACCACTGGTATCTCCACATGACAGATGAGGAAACTGAGGTATCGAGTGTTCACTTGGCTTTCCCATTCCCACAGATGGAGGGCTGCCAGTTGGGAAAGATGAAAATAAAGCACTCAGGCTCTGTCATAAATGAATACCGCTCCCTTCCCCACCCCAAATGAAAAGTTGAAGATTACAATCCTAGGCTAACATTTGAATGTAAGGAAACAGGAACTGAATCCAATGGTGTGGCCGTGAGCAGAAATGCCTCCATAACAATCTGCCCCCTTTATCTGAGGCCCCTGTGTACTTAGCTACACTTCTGTGTGTGGCTTATGCACATTCTCTGAATTTTGCTGGCCTGGAACTAGAAGTGGCGTCAGGCAGGGAAGTGTCAGGTTTACTAGCCCTAGGAAATTCCTGTGCTCTTATCTTGGGGGCACACTTTATATTTCCCTAAGAGAATCTACAGTGTCTCTGGAAACCCTTTATGGTTTGGGCAGGCTGGGCCTGGCCCCTGGGTTGCTAACTCTCTGGGGCGTTGGAAGGGAGCTGTGGGAGAGGACGTGGGGCAGAGTTAGCATATTTGGAATTGCCCCTTGTCAGCCAGATCTTCCCCAGTTCACACGAAGACGGTCATGTAGCTCACATCTGGATCATGTCATCTGGCATGAATGGCTAAGATTGTTTTTTAATTAAGAAGACAAGACTTCAGGGGCCGGCCCGGTGGCGCAGCGGTTAAGTTCACACGTTCCGCTTCTCGGCGGCCCGGGGTTCGCTGGTTCGGATCCCGGGTGCGGACATGGCACTGCTTGGCAGCCATGCTGTGGTAGGCGTCCCACGTATAAACTAGAGGAAGATGGGCACGGATGTTAGCTCAGAGCCAGGCTTCCTCAGCAAAAAGAGGAGGACTGGCAGTACTTAGCTGAGGGCTAATCTTCCTCCAGAAGACGGTCATGTAACTCACATCTGGATCATGTCATCTGGCATGAATGGCTAAGATTGTTTTTTAATTAAGAAGACAAGACTTCACCTTTGTGCTAGGATCAAGGAATATGCAACAGAAATAGAACCTAATATTGAGAAATCTTTCCTGCCGCTCTGAGCTACCTGTAAATGTAATGTGACGATACAACAGCATTTCCTTAAAGTTTTTCTAGAGGACACTAGTCCCTTGAGACATCTATGAGGGAAAAAGGTTTCCATAGTCGCATCACTTTAGGAATGACTCCCACTTCCTCCTCACCCCTCGGGCGTTTACAATTTACATTAACAACTTAGAAACTCTTGGATGATGTCCTAAAAAGAAACCTGTTAACACAGGGTTTGCAAACTTATTTAACTTTGGAATCCTGTATTTGGATAATACCTCTTACCATCCTGTAGAATTTGGGGCCCACCGAAACTAGTGAAATATTGTTCCGCAAAAAAAGACTGGCCACGTCAGTCAAAGCCTTGTCTCTAAATATTAATACAAATGTTACTTTTCTTGGCTAGTCAAGACTTGTTAGAAATACACTCTATATAAAACAAACTATTTGATTAATTTATAATGAAATATTTTTAGCGTTTCAAGAGCTAAATTATCTGGAATGTGATTCAAGGTGGACTTGTGCTGAATTCCATTCTATAACAATATCTGCAGAAAGTTCTAGGATAGTTTAACGATATAATGTCCATGTTAAAAACCACTATTAGATCATTTTGGAAGCAATATAAAGAAAACTGCAATTTCATAAATTTTATAGTGCTGGGGTTTAGGAAAAGGGAAGTGAGCAAAGGAGACTGTCAAGCTAAAGTGGAAAGATGACTAATGTCAGACAAAGGAAGATACGTGACTTTTCTACAAATTTCTAAATTTTCATAGTACATATAGATTCCTTGTCCTACTTGGTCTCAGCAGGGACCCTTGAGCCTAGGAAGAAACCAATCACCTAGCTTGAAAATGATTAGTTAGATGGTACAACTTCAGGGAGCATAGGGTGTGTATCTGGATCAGTTGATCTGGTTTAAAGAGCTTGATTTGCCTTCTGATTAAGAAGACCGACCTATATAGGAATAAACGACTAAACTAAGCTAATTAAATGAAATAGCTTGAATAATTCTTCCAGTAGCCGATTACCTGGGAAGATATGGAGGGACAGGGAGATGCTGGAGCAGTATCCGTGCTCATAAAGAAAAGGTTCAGATTGAGGTAATGCTCGTGACTGCAGAGGATTCTCAAGAACTCCAGCCTCATGGAAATGAGCGTTGGAAGGTTGTTGAGCTTGGCTGACAGCTGGAAAGAAAAATGAGAAGAGGAAAGAAACGTTTACTGTAAGGTGAATGGTTTTGAGGTTGACAGACACAAAAATATTCTTTCTCCTCAGATACAGGCAATCAATTTAATAAAAATTAATGGGACAGTGCAATGGATGGCAAACTCTGCATTACACGGAAGCCCAATAAGTTTTCTTCTATTACTGTTCCCTTTAATAATTCTAGACTAACAGCTGTCGAAACGAGGATTCCTGTCCTGACCCTTGTCAAATCTATAGTACCATGGCAAGCCTGTGGTGAAAATAACCTGGAGGTACGTCTCCAGTGTAACATAATATAATTAATTTTACAAAAACCCCACTGTGTCTGAGAAACTAAATGAAAGGAGTTGACCCCACCTGGGGCCACACAAAACTAATGGAATATGACAGGATGACTTTAAGGCCACAAGCGTTCGTTTGTAGTTCTCTAATTAAAGGCCCCATTGGGAAGTTCTCAAACCAGTTGCCTAGATGAAGGCATCAAATTACTTAGGAAAGTATGTAGTCTTTGCAAAAAAGCCCAGGGGTTTGGCCCAGAGTTGGAGGGGAGGAAGTAGAGGAGAAAGAAAGAGAAAGCTGGGAGAGTTTTCAGGAAAAATCTTCCTTAAAACAAACCAACCATGAAATAAGCAATGAGAAGCTAACAAAGGCGACAGATGGGAAGACATTTCTTGCCTCCCTCAGGTAAGCTGACAACCGAAGGACCCAGACTCTAGGGCCTGCGACTCAGAGGCATCTTCTCTTAAGGCAAAGTAAGGAAAGGAGGGTCTTGATGGACGGAGCCTCTCAGTACATCCTCATAAACACTCTCCTGTCCCAGCACAGGAAACTGAGCATCGCGTCCTTGCAAATAGACATGCCTCCTCTTCATGCACTTTAAGAGTAGTTTTATAAACTATATAATTTAAATGAGCACATATTTTCAGCCATTTTAGGAGAAACCATTGTGTTCTGGCATTTTGCCTACAGAATCAATCATAGTTAGACATTTACTTGAAACGAATACCATTACTTATTATGAAAAAAATAAACATAAGATGGCTGTGAAAGAACAGTAACAAGAACCCCCACTTTGGCCAATGTGCATTACTGGCTGATTTTGGACCAATGGGGCCATGAGCAAATTGATTAGAACTTGGTCTTATACCTATCACTGAATAACCACCCACAAAGAGTTGTTGGGTCAAGTCAGCTCTCAGAACTTGAAAGCATAAGATATGTGCACTTGAAAGAAGGCCACACTGTAGGTACCTTTCATAGGTCCCTTGAGACTTCATTAAAGACAGAAATTTCAAAAATAATTTGAGTGATGTTTAGAATAGAGTAAGGTGCACTTTCTGAAACATCCTCTCCAAAGGTCAGGACCCACAGTGGTAGCCTCAGAGGCCCTTCCGAAGCATGGGTGCTAACTTAGTGGCAGATTGAAAGTGACACAGAGCAATTGAAAAACTAGATTTGGCTATTGTTAAGACTAATAAAAGACTAAGATTATTTATACTCATGGTCACAAAGTCTGTAAATGACAGAAAACATGATGGAATGTTTGAATCAGGTTACGTAAAAGGACAAAATCAGAGGACTTTGGAAGATTAGAACTTGTCTCAGGTATGATGTTCATACTGTATCTAGGTAGCTGGGACCAATGACTTAAATCACCACTGACTGGGGTCAGTGATCTTTTTAGGCCTGTGTACTACCAATTGTGCAAAGTAATATCCGTGGATGTCTCTGGCAGACATAGAGCAGAGAATCAGAATGCCAAAGCCTGAGTAAATTAATCCAGCCTTGTCTTTTTGCAGACCAGGAAGCTACTTCCCCAAATGCGGAAGCTCTCCAAAATCAGAGGGGTTTCATGGCATCACTGGAATTAGAACACAGGTCTCTTAGTCTAAGGGTCTCTGGCAGCTGAGAGAGGAAAAGAGGGAGAGAAAGAGGGTAAATTACAAGTACGCTCTAACTTCAAAGAAAGGGAAAGGATTAAAAAGGGAAAGAGACGGAAAGAAAAAAGCGAGGAAAGAACGAGAAAATTAAAACGTGCCTTTGCAGGGCAGATAAATATCTAGTCTGATTGCTTTCTTTGCCTTTTGGTAATGAAAACTCCCCACATGTGAGCAGTGACAAAGATTCTCCCCTTGACCACACTCTAGTCAAGGTCCTCTAGGTTCTTTTTCAAACAGGCCTGCCCTTTGGGCATTCCTCAAGGGCCTGATTTTAGCAAGAATTCTGCTAAATCACTTTAGCCAGAATCCCCACTCTTGATATCTGATCACCCTCAATATCTGACCAAATTTCTTACCCTTGACCCCCTCAGGCGATGGTCAGACAGCATGTCTGCCTTCAGTAAGAATCCTGTTAGGTTGGTTTAGCCAGAATCCAACCCTACCCCTGGTGTTTGTTCTCAGTAATATTTCATCCACTGACCCCTACCCTGCTCCTTGGCTATAAATTCCCTTTTCCTTGTTATATTCAGAGTTGAGCCCAATCTCTCCCTCCTACTGCAAAACCCCATCACAGTAGTCCTTATACCTATCATAATAGTCGTGAATGAAGTCTGGCTTACTGTTTAACAAGTGTCATGAGTAACTTTTTTCTTTAACAGCAGCTAACCCTGGGCCTATAGTGTTGTTCTAGCATCTTCTTTCCATATGCCCAACTTAAAAGTTTGAAAAACAGATTAATTTACAGTTGCAATCCATCCAACAACCTGTAATCCTAAACACCTAAGAGGGATGGCAAAGCGGAATGGCATAGTCCTCTACCGCTCTATTCTGGTGGAATCTGAAAGAGAAGATCCACCAGGGTCAAGATGCCAGGGTGCACAAGATGTTGGTGCTCTGGGACTTCTGAAATTTCCTTAGGATTCTCTTTTATAAGTCAGCTTCCTTATTAGGAGTTTCTTTAGGAAAGCCATGATCTTTTTTGGGGGGCGGGGGGGAGGAGATCGTTTTATTTTACAAATGAGGAAATGGGACCCATAGAAGTTGAATGACTTTTAAGTCACTAAGGGATGAACCACAGAGAGCTAGTTCTGGCAGAACAGAGTGACTAGTCCACTGTACCTTGGAGTTAGGTAGACATGGCTCTTTCCTCCCTGGACAAGTTACATAACGCCTCTAAACCTCAGTTTTTATCATCTGCAAAATGTTGATAATAACACCTCACAAGGACTAAAGGATACAATTTCTATAAAGTGCTTAACACAGTGCCTGATCCATAGGGGAAAACCAGTGGTGGCGACAGTGATGGTGAAGGTGGAGGTGCTGATGATGGAGATGGTGATGGTGGGAGTGGGAGGCGATGACAACGGTGGCAGAAAGTGGTGATGATGGCAACGATAGTGGTACTGGTGGCTAGAGTAGGATATGGAAGAAAAGGAGTAGCAACAATAATAACTGCTACTTATATTGCTATTGTTGGGACAGTTTGAGGGGGACAGTGGACAAAAGAAGAATTCCATTTAAAAGTTTGGGGAGATCACACTGATAAGATGCTCTTGGATTATAAAATATTTGCTTTGTGCTCAGTGAAATTCAGTCTCTTTGACTGATTTTATCAGAGTTCTTTAAAGTCAGAATTTCACAACCACAATTTAATTAATTACCCTAATACGTGAAAAGAGACGTCATACTTTGAATTCTGTACCTGGTCAAAGACTGAATGCTACAGTCATGTAATTTCTTTTAAATGTTAAACTGAAAAAGGCAGATCATATCACTACTAAATTTCAATTCCCATAGATTTACTTGTTGAGCCTTCCATGCTGGGTTGGTAAATGCTCCAGGAACCCATGAAAGGAGTGTGTCTAGGGATGTCCACGACACAAAACCAATGACGTGAGGAAAGGACCACAAAACCCAGAATGTACAAGAGTCAAACTGTCTAACTTGGGAATGAATACGATAGCATCCCATGGCAGGGAGCGCCACATCAGATGAGAAGGAAGCAAGGACACCATGGCTATCAGGGAACACTCACCTGGTTGCAGTAATGTTTGATGAGGTTAAACACAAAGCCACGATCCATGAGTGAGAGAAGGTCATACAAAAAGAAAGCCAGGCTGATGTTGATCTTTTCCGCCTGTTCGTTTTCCTTAAAAACAAACATACAAACAAACACTCAAATGATTTTGTGGTAAGCCCCAGTCATGAACTCCCAGGTCCCTGGTGGGAAAGCTGGGAGAGACAGGTCCTTCTTTTCAGCCAGTGTCCTTCTAAGAGACACTGAGCAAAGCAGGTCACCCTGTAAAATTGTAGCAAATACAATTTAGCCCGTAATTGATGCCAGGAGTGTTAGATTGAATCAAGTAATTCTTTATCTACCGTATATTTAGTTACATTCCTTCCAGTCCTTTTTCCTGTGTGTATATTTATACGTATATAATTGAGCTCGTTCTCCGAGTACAATGTTGGGTCCTAATTTTTTTCATTCAATATTATATTATGAACATTTTCTTACATTTGTAATATTTCTTCAAAACTAGTTTTTAATGGCTGCCTTGTATTTCTTCATCTGGCTCTACCATAATTTATTTGATTCTGGTAATTACTATTTTGGTAAAACCAATTTGAAATGTATTCACTATCTTCAATAAGACAGATTCTTAATTCATAAGGATTATTGCAGAAAACCTAATCAGGATAAAAGAATCTGTTTTTACCTAAGAAATTTTTTTCTCCAATTAGGCAGCGCTCTTAGCCTAAGAGAGGTCAGAGTTAGACACGGCAGAGTGAACTCTTGCATGAATTGAGGCCAGAGTTTTTGTTTTTAATACTTCTCAGTGCTCATATTTATGAGGGGTTTTACAGCACTTCAGAGCAATTGGGATTCATTTTTTCATGATTATGTCTTCTGTTCTCAGAATGATAAATCAATTTTCTCTGACACTATTGAAAATATGATTTGAAAATACATTCTTCCTGTTATGACGTGCACTTTGCAAATTCAGGCCAAGCTGACCAGCCACTGGGGTGGATGGAGACCTGACAGAGAAGCTTCCACAGTATCACTGAGGGGCAAGTCCTTGTGCTCCCAGCATCCTCCACGTGGGCCACTCCTGGATGGTTTATGTAACTGTCTGAATATTCTGGGCTCAGCAACTTCAGTTTTGGCTGTGCTGCTAGCGGTGTGACTTTTGGAAAATTGATCAACCTCACTGTGCCTCATTTTTCATGCCTGCCAAAATGGAGATAACACTGCTGCTCTCTCAAAGTTTGCCAAGAGAAATAACCAAATGGAAACCTTCTTGGTATTATACAAATTCTTAACAATGATAAAGGTTTTAATAATTGCCATGGCTGCCTCAACTTTTATAGTTACCCTCTAAAATTTTCTTATTTTGTTTTTTTACTTTCTCTTTTGAAATAATTTCAAACTTACAGAAAAGATGCAAGAATAGTACAAGAACTCCTGTATGCCCTTTCACCAGATTCTTTAACACTTGGCATTTTACGTTTAGCTTTATCATTCCCTCCATACATACAATTCTTTTCCGGAACCATTTGACAGTAGGTTGCAAATGTTCCCATTTGCACCATAATACTTCAGGGTGTATTTCCTAAGAATAAGAATATTCTCTGTTATATCTACATTGATACAATAATTTAAACTATTGCAATTTCGTACTGCAATTTTTTATGGCAATCTCCCAGCCCTGTCCCAGGGTCCTGTCCAGGAGAATATAAGCATTTAGTTGCCACATATAGTTAGTTACATTTTAATTACTGTTTTAAGATGATGCTCATTTCTCTCTGATTGTGAAAATAACATACGCTCAAGGTAAAAAATTTAGAAAGTAAACAGTAAATGACACGGTTACCTTCTGAGGTTTTACTAAAAGGGCTGCAATCTCCGAGGTGACCACATTAACAATAGTAGTTATGTCATCTTTGAAACGGTCGGAAAAACGAGTCCTCCGAAAATTGTCCCGTTTGTCCATGTTATGTACATACTGGGCCATGCTTTTCACCTACAGAAGGAATGGGAGAAATGTCAACATGGAAATTGGTGACCTGCTTGTCTGCTGTGGAAAGGGGAAAAGGCTGGAAGAAAAGCTCCTTAACAATGGACTTTCTAACACTTGATCTGCGCTGCTGGTTGCCCAACAGGCTCTGGACTAAAACATGCTCCTGACACAGAAATGGTTACCATGGTGGCAGAGCGGGAAGGGTGTCCTCTTTTTGACCCCAAGTCAGGGGGCTTCCTTCTTGCTGCTGACAAAGCCAGGGAGCTTAATTCTTTAGCTACGGTGTCATCAGCCTCCCCTTCTCTCAACAGCCTAGGTCCAGGAAGGCAGACGAGGCTGGGCTCCCACAGCCACCTAGGCATCAGTCATAGCACACAGCACATTCAATGGAAAGGAGCTGTTTATGATACTGTTTCTGATGTGAACAGAAGTCATTTCTGTCCCTGAAACTATAGGAAGGAGAACATGGAGAAATGTTTCTTTCATTCTGAGTTTCAAGCTGACATGGGGAGCACAGTTTTCCCAAAAACAATTCTATAGTAGGCTAGCTGCAAACTTAACCACTATTTGGAACATTGCCTCTAGGAGAAATTATGTTTTGAGTTCTATAAGACTAATAAAATGCATATAAAAACTATACACACATATCCTAAAACTTAATACATACATTGTACATAATGTATATACATATATATATTTTTAAAATAAAAATCTGTCTGCTAATTGGTGATTGCCTGTATGACGACCAGCTCACCAGCTCAATGCCTACCACGACTGTAAATCAAGACTATGCTTATTTTGTGGACTTCCTCCTGAGGCCAGGAGATTTGTGGGTCCACACAGCTTCCTTTGATACAGTCTGAGGTTGCCTCTTTCCCCTGTTGGAAGTTGCTTAGAGTTATCAGGAACGGTCTGATGGGAAACACTGGGAGTTCTGGTGGTTGGGTGCCTACCCTCTAAGGTCATTTTTATGGATGTGTCCAGGCTAATCAGAGAGTCAACGCAAAAAAGAAATGACCCTGGAGGTTGAACTGTCCACATTTGCATGAAGGTGACCTCCTAGGTCAGGGCTGGAAGAATAGGGGACAAAGTTGTATGGGAAAAATGACCCCCACTCCCAAGAACTAGATGGGAGAACTTTCATGCACTAATAGTAGATTTCTAAGAATGCGGCACTGGCGATTTTCATTAGCACTGAGACAAACAGGTAAAAAACAAAGAGAAGGTAAAATAAGAAGAGAAAAACAGACAGACACCCTTTGTGTGTTTTGTGTTTTAAGATAATGCCAGGGCCAGCATGGGGAAGACCTAAGAATATAAAATCCTAAAGCCCAGTATAAGAATCACCATTCCTCTTTGCTGCAGAGTCCTTCTTGGCTCAGGACACACGGACGTGTGTGTACTCCACAGGGTCTCATACACTCGGCGGAAGGACCTGAATGAGGGGTGGGAACTGGATCCCATTTTTGTCTGCCCAAATGTCTCTCTCACTAGACTCCTAACAAAGGAACTAGGAAGACAGGACTTCTTTGTTTTGGGCTACCCCAATCCGGATGTTCTGGGGGTTAACCCACTCCAGCATCAGGTTTTTAGAATTCACTATTGTACTCGCCTCTTGCCTGCTTAGTTTGGCCATCCAACAACCAAATAGATAATTCTCACAATACTGTACTTCCAACTAATGGCCTCTTTCCAGACTGTCAGCAACTTGCCAGCTACTGTGTTCTTCGGATCCCCAGAGAGGAACACCCAACGGAAATACTAGTGCATGTCTGGCCCATTATTTGTAGGATAGGGTAAGGCAGGAAAATATTCTCCCCCGTATTGGCTTTGGTGGCCCATTCAAAGGAGGGTTAGCTCTAAAGAACCACTTGGAGCAGAACTTCACGCTCCAAGTAAACTAGGTCACCCATTTACCTCTAGGTCCTCAAAGTCTGGCTCAGCAGTTTCTAGAAGCACAGGGATTGATTCATTAGCAAGTGTGAAATTCGCCCAAGGATTGTGTTCAACAGCTCTAATGCCAAAGTGATTGTTCATTAGCGCTTGGACATTAACACAGCAGAAGGGTGTTAAACCGCTTAGGTTGTTGGCTAAACCCAAGGAGGCTGTCTTTTCTTTCTCTTCAAGCTTCTTGGTAAAAAACTACTTTGGTTTTAAAATAACTTCCTGGGCATCCATAAGGCAAATGCACAAACAATGTGTGGAGGACCGGGCACCGGTCTGAGTCTGAGATCAGTGTCCTTGTGAAGTTCTGGCTGGGGCTGACAGTTTCTGCTTGCCTCCGCCCGAGCCCCTAGGTCCATTTCTTGCCCTTCTCTGTCTATCCCTGAACCCTGGGAAGCTGAATTCTATGGACTACATCACTCAGGACTCCTTGTCCTTGGGCTTCTGGTTGGAGTTGGCCAATGGGAGGCACCAGCAGGGCTCACTGGGCAGGAGAACAGAGAGGTCCAGGTACTTACCTGCTCCATGGCCCTCATCCCTGCCGCCGCATGGTTCTAGCAGGGACAACGTTTCTCTAAGACTCCAGCTGCTAGGATGTGGGCCCTCTTCTCTGCCTCAGCTGTCTCTCAGCCCCAGTTACACTGCTTGCTATCCTCGCTTCTTTAGAGCTAGGATAGATAAAGGCTTCCAGCAATTGCTGCTCCCAGGGTGCTTCACCAACCCTTATCTGCTCTTATAACCTTGTGTACACCCTGGGCAGAGTCCCTTTGATAAATGCTTTTCAGTTAACCCCTTTAAGTAATGCCAACGCTGTCGTACCAGGACCCTGACCTGCAACCTGCAGAGCCCTGGTAATCAGTGTCTTGTGTGACCTGCATATTGACCAACTCCCTCCATGTGCTCAGATCAGCAGGAGCTTTCTTTCCAACTATCTCATCTATTGACCATAAGAGACTTCCAGTAGTAAGGAGGGCTACTAGTTTTAGCTTTTGCTTTCTCTCCTGGGCCCACCTAGAGCTAGTAAATAAATGCGTACGATCAAAAGCAATCTTCTCCTTTTCCATGGTTCTTAGTTTCCTGCGGTTAGGGGCAGAGAGGCGGTGCTGAAGCCTTTGGTGGGCTTAGAGACTTCTCCTTATGGCCTCCACCCTCCTCCAACCCCATCTGTAAATTGGGGATGATAGAAAACTCCTGCCTTAAATGAGATAATGTTTCAAATGGTGCTGGACGTGTACAGAATAATATGCTCAATACATTTTAGATGTTATAATTTCTCCTTCAGAGATGTCAGCTGTTATTGGGATTATATGAAGGACAGAGTCATCATTACGCCTGCAGAGAATGCAAACCTGTCTTCAAAGGAGAGCTCTAGGATGCCACGTGGAGCCACTCAGGCCTAGCCATGCTGAGTTTGTTCTGATTGGGAATGGAATAATCATTGTAGCACTGCATTAAAGTCAACTTTGGAATACAAAGGTTTTGCATGTTGTTAGTATGTTAGGCTAAGAAAATGTTTTGTAACTTTGAGCTTCCAAGGAGAGGCAAAGAGGAAAAGAGCCTGGATTTACAAGCTGTGGAATTCAGGCTCTGCTCCTCAGGGCTGAGAGCGGGGCAAACCCCTACTGAGCAATGGGGATAACTCCTCAGGGGGGTTATCTCACAGGGTTTACTGCGGTTTCAGAGATGCGGTCCTTAGAGCTGCTACTGGAACCTTCAGGGAGCAGTCTGAGAACCACCACCCTAGGAGCTCGGTTCTCCAGTCTAACAACTGTAGTATTTATAATATATAACTATTAAATAAGACCTAAAAGTGCTTAGGTGAAGAGAACGTGTATATGTGTGTGAGTAAATGATATAAAACATCTTTGAATCAGGAGACTGCTTTCCTTTGGGACTTTCTTCTATGAGATTCTACAATATCAATTTGAGTTTTTGCTTCTTGTCTTTTTTTTTTAATTGCAAATTTGACAGATGAATTCAGTTTCGAATTCTTTGTCTGAATTATCTATAGATGGATTATATCCCAAGGGAATCTTCCCTATGGAGAAACTTGATGGTGGGTGGGATGGGTGGGTAGAAGCAGGATGTACAGGGCTTGAAGTGTTGGTTTTGATACTTCTCATGCCTCCAGAGTTTTATTGCCAGTCCACTTCCTGCCAGAGCACAGAGCTCATGTCTTACTGCCAATGTGGTTGCCCCAAAACTTGTGAGCTGCAGCCTCTCATCTTAATCAGCTTGGCTTTTAGAATGCAGAGCCCTGGTGCTGGCTGGGTACAAATCTGGAAGGATCCCTAGCTCTGTTTAAGTCTCATAGAGCAGAGGTGGTGTGGACCAGTGGATCTTCAGTGAGCTTAGAAGTCACCCAGGAAGACAGGTAAACGCACACTGCTGGTTCCGACCCTCTTCATTGCACTCAGTTCTAGGGAGGGTCCCAAGAATCTGCTTTATTTTTACTAAGCACCTCCAGGTGATTCTGGTGGGGATTTGGGACTGTGCTTCGAAAAGACACCTCTCCTGCAAAATCTTTCTCAAGCTAGGGCTCGGAACTTGGTGAAACTCTAAAGGACTGAATCCTGGATGTATTTCTATGGCACTGGCCTGGCTTCTTTTTAACCTCATTGCTCATCACTTCCCATTTCCTCCTCAGTATGTGTTTTATTTTTGTGTCCTTTGATTCCCTGTTCTCTATGTCCTATCGTTCACTATTGGTCCCTTTTTATTGGTTTGAACTCACATAGATAAACCAGAGCCCAGGGGGAGATCCTACCACCTCTCTTTCTTAAAAAAAAAGAAAAAAAAATTATTCCCTTAATGTCACAGAGGAAAATACTCAGTAAATATAAAGCTAACTCTATTACTAAATCTCAATTTGCTCCTTATTCTCTGGATTGTTTGCGCATTTTTACGTAGTTGGTGTCTATGTTTTTATACCTTTTTTCACTTAAAATCATATCACAATGCATCTCCATTTATCAATGGCGACAAAATGCTTACTCTAGTGGCTTTATGGTAAAATCCTTTCACTTCTAATAATAATTAAACAAAAAATAGGTATTATTCTCTTTATTTTAAAATTAAGGAATACGGCTGTACCTTTTGATTTTCTGCTAGAGAATGGATGGAAGTTGTAGGTAAACAGATTTAAGAGTTTCACTTTTTTGCCCCCCAACAAATATTAGTTGGTGCTTGTATTGATGCCAAGCTGTGTTCTGGGCTAGCGATAGGATAGTGAAGATGACAGACCCATATACTAGAAATCTAATAGGCAAGACAGAACAACATTTATAAATTGTGATAAGTGCTAGGAAGGAAATAAATAGGGTGTTTAAAAGGAGAATAGAGTGGAAGACATATTACAGTATAAGGTGGTCAGAAAAGGCCTCTCGGAGGTGGTGACATTAAAGTTGAAACCTAAAGAACCCAAAAAGTACATGCATGGGGGGATGAAAGGTGGGGAACTGGGGAGAGACTCTGAAAAAGGCTTTGAGGCTGAAAAGGCCTTGGCGTTGTCAAAGACCCAAAATGGGAACAATGAGGCTGAATGAGGGGGGAATATGGCCTGAGATGAGGTTAGAGATGGAGGCAAACTGAATGGTACAAGGGCTTTTTAGGCCACGATAAAAATTTGTGCTTTATTTCCAGTACCCTGAAAGTCACTGAAGGGTTTTAAAGAAGGAAGTGACATTATCTGTTTACTATGATGCAGGATGGACGGACTGAGGGCAAAAATGAATGCAGGTGGGCGAAAGAGGACATTATTATGAGAGGCAGGCAAAAGATGATGGTGGCTTGGCCAGGTGGGGAGCAGTGAAAATGGTGAGAAGCAACAGGCTGGACGTAGATTTTCAAGACAGAATCAACAAGATTTGGCGGAAGATGGATGGAGGGGTGAGGGAGAGTTGGATTCCAAGGAATGATCCCAGGTTTTCAGCAGGAGCAACTCAGTGGATAAAATGTCAACTCCTGATATGGGACACTTCACTGCCTTTCTGCAATGTGCTTTTCATGCCCTATTGAGCATAGATAGAAACATGCAAGAATCTTACCAGAAGCTCAAAGAAGAACCAGGCGTACTTGAAGACTGTTTCTCTCACCATCCCGGTGCTGACGACCATCTGCAGGGCAAGCTCCTCGTGGAAATGCTACATAACAACCACAAAAACCAGACTATGATGCCAAATGCTTTATACACCAAAACCTCTTTCCTTTTTTACCAACCGTAATAGCTTGTTAGTTACTGATGCATGTGTCCCAGATGTCCTAGACCACAAGTGGACGGTCAATGCTGAAATACTTGAGACCGGAGGGCATTTTAGGCAGGTAGGGGAAGGCTGGTGGTATCACCAGATTTGAAGGACGGCCTAGGATGGGAGTGAAGCTGATTCTGGGGTAGCAGTCAGACCTGGGACCATCTGCAGTATCAGATCATGCTGCAAATGCTCTGTGTGACCTGTGCAGGCCATTCCTCTCTTTCCCCTTAGTTTTCTCATCCATAAACTCAGCTGTTTGGTAGCAGTGGTTCTTGAACTTGAATGCGTATCAGAATCCCTTGGAGGGCTCGTGAAGACAACAGACTTCTGGCCCCACCCCCAGAGTTCTGGATTCAGATTGAGTAAGTCTGGGGCAGGGCCTGAGAATTTGCATTTTTAACAAGTTCCCAGGTGATGCTGACATTTCTGGTCTGGGGACCACGATTAGAGAATCGCTATCTAGATGGTATCTAAATGCCCTTCAACACTGGATGATTCTTGTTTTTATATCCATGATGGTTTTGTAGGAAATGTGATGAGTTGGGGTTATGAGTAGATCACCTGCATTAAAAGTCACGGTGGTAGCAGCCTGAACTCACAGCTTCTAAATTCTTAGGTCCCAGGGTCAGATGCCTGAAAGTCCCTCAGCTCCACTTTATGTCACTTCCCTTCAAGTCATCTGACTGCCTGACAGCAAATGTGGCAGATGGTGACTTCTGCACCTTTCTTATCTTTCCCATTCCCTAATGTATATGGCTACCTGTTAATGCTCCTGACAACAGTGTTGATTGGCAAGTTCAAGACTAAAGGTAGGGCATCCAACTCATCTCAGTTTGCCTGGACTACCTGGTCTTAAAATGGAAAATCCTGCCTTCCAGGGACCCCCACAGTCCTGGGCAAACTGGGATGGGTGGTCACCCTAACTAACGGCAAAAATCATGTCTGGGCATTTTCTGTGGATTTCATTTATCTAATGACCACAAAATCTAGAATAAATACAGATGAACTAACTTTTTATTGTTGTGTGGGTAAGAAAGCTGAAACTACTTGAACATCCTATGGTGATATTCTAGAGTACTGGCTTATGTGGCAGTTAAGTTTTAAACTCAACATCTAAAGCAAAAATTGATTATAGCAAAGATTGCCATTGACAAACCTTTAAATTACCCACAATGGACAGTATGCAGGCAACCCAATTTACTAATTCTCGTGAACTTTAAAATTTGAGTTGCTCAGCTGAACTAAAAGGGACAAATGGAAAATCTACGTGCAGATGTCTGGATATTCTAACTATTCACATCCACAGACAGTCAGTGGTGAGGAATGGAGCAGGCCATAGTGTTTCAGCTCGTCAGAGGGTTCCACTTCATTCTGCCAGGTGAGTCAAACTTCTCTAATCTTAATACACGTTAACACACGTGTCTGTGGTTGTGAGACACACGTGAAGCTCGCCTATCTGGGAGAGGCATGAGGCTGAGTGTAAGCTGGCAGGTGGTCTCAGTGTACACAAGATGTAACTCAGCTACAGCCGGATCTTCCCATTGTAGGAAAGACACGCTCCACCAGCTTCAAAGGTAACCTCTGGAAAATAGGTCAGTTTGACTGCCAGAGTCTTATGGCAAGAAGAGATTAGAGGGGGATAAGCTGCTTCTTAAAGTAATTTATGCTGCTTACTGGGCAACATTATGACAAGAACACCTTGCTCCAGAGGTTATAGAAAATAGCTAAGCAGTTAAACCTTGTCTGTGGGGCTAGTGAGGAAACACTGGCTAAACTTCCCTCTGAAATGAAATGATTCTCTTCGGGTCGTAGAAATGACCAGAAACATAGTCAAAACAAAGCAACTGCAGAACCAAACACGACTGTGCCCGGAAGAAATCAGGCCCTGCCTCAAAGGAAGTCAGGCTGGAGGCAAATCATGGTTTGTAAGAAGGAAAATGGCGCTTGTAATCAGTCACTGCAAAGCCCCATGCTAAGTTTTAGAGTAAGTGAAAAATTTATTTTCAGCACCTAGTCATATGTTCTTTCATTTCTCCTTTACAAACAACTCCTGGTACCTCTCCCCAGACATACGGTGCCCGGATTGCTGCAGAGTCTGGAGCGCGCGTTTGGCAGGGCCTTCTCCTACTGATCCTGCCCTCACCTAGTTCAAAGTGAGCTGGGCTGCGCTCTTTCCCTTCTTGTCTTTTTAACAAACATTTCCCTTTGGTGTCAGCTGTTGCAAATGGCTTCTTCTGTTATTCTTCCAATCAGCATATTTACATTTTAATAGGGGTCTTGAAAGACATTCAAGACCTTAACTAAAGTAGTTACTAAAATGGTGCAACACTTGGGTGCCTGGCAGAGGAGAAAACTGTGACAGACAGCTCTTTCCCCCTCACCTCACAGACCACACAGGCTGTGATTACAATTGGAGAATTGTAAACAAGAAGCTCATACAGAGGTTGTCAAAGCCTGGTCCCGGGACCAGCATCAGCTGGGAACATGTTAGAAATGCAAATTCTTGAGCTCCACTGCAGATCTATTGAGTCAGAAACTCTGGGGATGGGGTCCAGCAGTCAGTTTTAACAAGCCACCCAGGTACTTCTGCATGGTAAGGTTGGAGAACCACTGATAAATAGGTAATCAGGTGGTCAAAACATGGAGGATCATGGACAGGCTGCAAATATGTGTGTGCGTGTTTGTGTATGTGTGTGTTAGGAGGACTGGAACAAGGTAGGAGAGCACTTTGATGGTGTCTTTTTCCAATCATTGTGAGAGGGCATGGGGCAAATTATCCTAACACTGCTCTGCTCAGTACCTTTTTGCTGGCTGGCCTTGGGGCTGTGGTTGAGCTTGGAACATCGTTATTGCCAGAGCAATAGTAAGACATCCGGTTGCAGTTGCGATCAGTAACCTGAAATAGACAAACCATGACTCAGCAGTCCACTGACAGTGGCCCACTGGAGTGACGAGCCAGCAGCCTGGAAATCACACCCTCAGAATTCATTTTTAATATATATCTTTTTTTTTTCTGGTTACAAAGATAAAACAATTGCTACGAATAAATATAAAAGCAAAGAAAGTCAAGTTACACCTAATTCCACCTGCTCCTGAGAGAATCACTGTTAACATTTTGGTGTGTAGTAACCTAGAATTAAAACCTAGTGAAGTACCAGGAGATGCTGAATAGTTCCTTCAATATTCTAAGCATCTCTGACTTATTGGGAGAGCAGGAAAAAATGTGTGGGAACAGTGCCTCTCTGTGGGTTAGTATGGTACTGTGCCCAGTCTCAACGCTGTAATTAATAGATTGCCAAAAACCATTTCTGAAAGGAAGGATTATACTCTGTTCTTTTAGTTGGACAAAATTTTTTCCCCTTGCTACAAAATAACTGGAAAATTCTTAACACAGTCCACACAGAAATTCAATGTTTTGTCTTATTAAAGGAAACTGTAACGATCCAGGATGTCAGTGATAAGTGCAGACCACTTCTCCTCTGGGCCACCAGAAAATGATATTGCTGAAAGGGACCTTAGATGTGAAGTTGAACCATGGTGTGCTGGCAAGTGTTTAACAACCAGCTCTTGGCAGGGAGGGGCTCATGTGTAGCATTGGTCAATTTCTGTGCTGTAAATGTTTCCATCACGGCTGATTTCAAGTTAACAGGATATGACTGAACACAGCGTTGGGACGAGATGTGCAGTAGCAAACCATCATATAGTATTTCCACCATACAGATGCAAATAGACATAAATAACCTCAAGAACATAGATAATAGTAAAATGTAAAATAATTAGGAAAGGATGAGGTTTGAGTACTATCCTTTTAAAGTGGAATAATTTTAGATTTACAGACAAGTTGCAAAGGTGGTACAGAGTTCTTATATACCCTTCACCCAGTTCCCCTTAATGTTGATATCTCACATTACCGTACATTTGTCAAAACTGAGAAATTAACATTGGCACATTACCATTAACTAAACCACTGAGTATGTGGATTTCGCCAGTGTTTTCACTAATGTCCTGTTTCTCTTCCAAGATACAAGCCAGGATACCACATTGCATTTAGATTACCTTTGTCTTTAATATAACTTATTTGTTAGTTTATATAATTTAATTTTTTAAAATGTCTACGTTTAACGACTAATTCAAAAAATTCCTGAAAATTTAATAATCAGCTTTCAGAAACTGGTACAAGCCAGCTCCAGCACATCCCTGGGTTGATTCTGTAAGTTGAAAAGGTTAGAATATCAACAATTTCATATGTGCAACTGATAAATCCTCAGAATCTCTTGGAGTGGATCCAGAGATGATGCTTAAGTTCATCCAATGTCCAGAACCTCTGCAGAGGTGAGGGCAATGAGGCCCAGGGCAGGAACTGACTTGCCCATGACCACACGGCTGGGTGGGTTCAGAGCCGAGACCCAACCCTGGTCTCCAGATTCCTTTTGTCACAACATACTATCTCAAGTGGGTGGACTTTATAAGGGAAACTATGTCAAAACTAGAGAGTTTGATTTACCTTAATCAGAGGAAATATTACTCTAAAAGATTAGCCACCCTGAGGCCACAGATAAGTGGAAAGAAAATTCAGACTAAGAATTCATGGGAGCTCTGTGAAAAAAACCCGCTGAATCATATACTTGAAAAGGGCGAATTTTATGGTATGTGAATTATATCATAATTTAGTTTTTTTTTTAAAGATTGGCACCTGAACTAACATCTGTTGCCAATCTTTTTTTTTTCCTTCTTCTTCTCCCCAAAGCCCCCCCAATACATAGTTGTATATTGCAGTTGTGAGTGCCTCTGGTTGTGCTATGTGGGATGCCACCACAACACGGCCTGATGAGTGGTGCCATGTTCACGCCCAGGATCCGAACCAGCAAAATCCTGGGCTGCTGAAGCAGAGCGTGTGAGCTTAACCACTTGGCCATGGGACTGGCCCCTAAAAGTTTTTTTTTAATGAGACATATCCAACAAAATACCTGACCAGTACTCCTCAAAACTGTCAAGGTCATCAAAAACAAGGAAAGTCTAAGAAATTGTCACAGCCAAGAGGCATCTACAGAGATATGACTATAAAATATAATGCGGTATCCTGGATGGCCTCCTGGAACAGAAAAAGGACATTAGGGGAAAAAAATCTGAATAAAACATAAACTGATAGTTAATAATAATAACATATCAATGTTGGTTCATTAATTGTGACAAATGTATCCTTCTACTGTAAAATGTTAATAACAGGGAAACTGGCTACGGAGTATACAAAAACTTTCTGTACTACATTCACAATAATTTTATAAATCTGAAACTGTTATAAAATAAAAAGTTTATCAAGAAAAAGCAAAGAATTCATGGAAGGAAAAACAATCTAGGGCAAGTCACCAACTCCCTTAGGATCTCAGTTTTTATTTATTTATAAAATCTGGCTTTGCTCTTTGGGATTATTATATGGGAAAATCAGTCTATGAATGTTAATGAATGTAAAAGGCAGATATTAAAAAACAAAACAGGAAGCTGGTCCGGTGGCACAGCGGTTAGATGCACACATTCTGCTTTGGTGGCCCGGGGTTCTCTGGTTTGGATCCTGGGTGCAGACATGGCACCGCTTGGCAAGCCATGCTGTGGTAGGCGTCCCACATATAAAGTAGAGGAAGATGGGCACGGACGTTAGCTCAGGGCCAGTCTTCCTCAGTAAAAAGAGGAGGACTGGCAGCATATGTTAGCTTAGGACTAATCTTCCTCAAAAAAAAAAAAAACCCAACATAATAAAAAACAACCTTTCTAGGCACTAAAAGAAGTTAAAGCTAAATTTTTTTCCGTGAAAATAAAATTCATGGTATCACTGACTCCATGCAGTAAAACCAGCTTTGCCGGAAAAACTTCCCACCAGCGTTAACTAACTGAACAGATCCTGCCTCTGCATCTTTCAGAATGGTCTCAATCACTTCCAAAGGAAAGAACATTAATAACGCTAAAGCTGTGCATTAAAGCATTTAACCAACATACTGGGCGTCAGTAGTGGGTGATTTCGTGTTGTTCTTCCAAGTGTTAGTTAAAAATGAAAACTTTCCATCTTGACAGGTTTGACATCTTCCCTACCTTTGAAGACATGATGTTCTTAACTTCCTCATCTACTGCAGAATGTGTCCCTGCGAGGTCTGGGTTGCTGCTGCTCATCACTCGGGCCTGCAGCAGCTTTGAACTCACAGCGGCAGCAGACGTGCGTCCATATGTGTGGTAGCGAGGGTCAGGGAGAGCGGTGGGGCCACCTGCACCCCACGAGGTACAGACATGTCAACAGAAAGGGAATCAGAGTCACTTACTGGGCTTGAGAAGAAACTGAAGAGGGATGGTGTAGATAGTGGAATGAAAACCCAGTAGATTAGGTCTTGGAATTAGGTCTTATCAAATGCCTAGGGGAGACCAAGGAGGCAGTACTTAGAGGGTAAGTAGATAGGGTGTAAGGCAGTAGGGAGTGGTGAGGACTGTAGTAAACTGGAAGCACATGCTTTATCCAAAGGTAGGGGCTACTACTCAGCTCCAGACTATTATCACCACAGGGAAACAGCCCCCAGGGTGGCCATAGCTTCTGATTTCTCAAGACAAGCTGGAAATGTGGATTTTTAAATTTATTAATATTTAAATGATGACAACTTTTTAAATCATGCAGTAAGGTTTTCTGAGATTTGAAAATCCAAGGAATCATCTGAACCTTATGAGGATAAGTATATACTATATATCGATGTTTTTCACCTTTAAGTATGTATATGTCTTCAAAAGTGATTTTGTGAGTTTGAGATATTACCAATATTTTAAAAAACTCAATCAAAATTACAGGTTTACTTGAAATGAGGCTGCATGGACTAATAAAAATGCCAAGTTTCTTTGTTAGGGCTATGTAAATATGCAAAACCTACGTAAATAATTAAGAAGAGTAGAGAAATGGATTATTATTATTTCAGAAGTTTAGTTTGGGGTAAATAAGAAAACGGACACTTTTTTCAAAATGAAAAGTTTAGGAACCATTGCTTACCACTGCTATCGAACATCTATTATTTTCTTTATCATTATTATCCTGGAATCCTAGACACCTGTTGTCACTCCTCTATCTTTTAAAAAAGAGATCCTCAACTGAATCAGAAATTACCAACTGGGAAAAGACTGGTGAGGGGCTACCACACAGGCAGAAAAAATAAGTGCTTAGAGTATAAAGAAGGGGAGAGAGTCAGGAAGAAAACAAGAGAGAAAAATCTAGAAATACACTTCTAATTTCAGCACTCATGTAAGTTTTGCGTCATTCTGAAAAACAAAACTTAACTTTCGGGCTTTTTATATTATTGTGAATTATGTGGCCGGGGTGCCTGGGCGAGGATGCTCCGCCCTGGGGACTCCCACACTCGGGGCTACAACGCTACCTGACTTGGGCACGTCCTTTTGCAGCTCCGGCAGGCGGAAGACGTAGTGCACGTAGGAGGCCAGCAGGCAGTTCCTGCCGTGCTGGTCCTTGCCCAGGTCCTTGCTGTTGTGCAGACTGTTGGCGATGGCCACCACGGACTCAAAGGCAAACTGGGAGAAGTTGGCTGAGGAAGCAAGAGAAAAATGGGCGGTGCCACAGTCAGTCCTTAATGAACCCGAGGTAGAACGCTCTCCCGGGCAATGACAAGGAGTCCTGACCACGGACCAACAGAACTAGGCTGGTCAAGAGGATGGCCTGGGGTGGGGTGAGCTGTTTTAGGAAGCTCCAGCAGGCCGGCTCTGCTCACCGCAAGCGAGTTTACATTTCCTCCTTCATCCTCCTCCTCCCGCCAGCGCACAACAAAGACACGAGATGCTCCAGACATCCTCCCCTCTCTAAACCACTCGGTCAACTGGCCCTACTCGGTGGGGTCTGCACGGACGTTATGGGTATCACCTGGGAGCTTGTTAGAAATGCAGAACCTCAGGCCCCGCCCCAGAGCTCCTGAGTCAGAATCTGCACTTTAACAAGATGCTCAGGGGATTCACGCACACTATGGTTTGAGATGTGCTTTTGCGCATCTTGGCGTATGGATTAATCTAAAAACAAAAGTGTTTTATGTTATTCCCACAGTGGACCCACACAAATGATTGATCTACTGTACACACTGTCTCGCTTTGGAGCTGCAGCCCTCCACAGTTTGGCGCCACGCTACCTATCCACTCTTGTACCCTTTTCTCCTCAAATTCAATTTTCCTTAGGAGGAGGCACTGATCCAATTGTCCCCATCACATCTGTTCTTTCTCACCTCTGCAATTTTGCTCATGCTGTTATCCTCATTTAAAAAGCCCCCGTGCTCCTACCCGTTAAATCACACAACCCTTCGATGCTTGGCACAATCCTGTCTCCTCCAAGAAGCCTCGGGCACCACTCAGTACAGGGTTCAAGCAAAACCAAATCACATGGTTCTCTGGCTGTTTCCGGTAGGAAACTGTGTCTCTCTGAGCAGGCTGGGAGTCCTTCCAGGGCAAAGTGCATTTCTCACTCTTTCTTGTCTCCCTGCTGCGCCTTTCATAGGGCCTGACACAGAGAGGTTCTGAATAAATGCTTATAGTCTAGGGGCCTCCACCTATTCTGCGTGTCCCAACACCCTGTCATCCCCACATGACAAGGTGGCAACTTGCTATGGAGAAGAGGCTCAAAATGTACGTGTGAACGTGTTGTCTAGTGAACAACTCCACATTAAATGGCTGGAGCATACAAAGCAGAGTGCCACATGTGTGGGGACACAGGAGGAAATCTAGGGAGGGTAGAGGTCATGGCTCTGCAGGAATCCAGCTGGAGAGGTGACAGCTACACGTATGAAATGTTAGCCTACAGTGTAGGGTGTCTTCTCTGTGGAACCACAACGATGCATCCCAGGATACAAAGCAAACCAAGGGATTAAGAAGACACGCTCTCCCTTGCTCTGAAAGCCTAGAGTTCAGCAAGCACCCTCCACCACTGTCCCCGATTTACTCCTATTCCACAGCCCAACTGCATTACTTACTTCTTTCCTGACACGCCCATGCTTTTCTGGTTCTCTGCTCTTCCCATGTTCATTTCACTGTCCCCATTTCAGCTCCTTTTCTTCTACCCCTCCTTCAAGGCTATCTTAAACACTACCTTCTTCCTGGGGGCCTCCTGCATCCTCCCAGATGTATGTTTTCATGCCCCCAACCGCGCAATATTTAGCTGTGTCCTTTTGAGGACTTGCATCCTGTGCTGCTTGCTTTTTGCTATATTGTAAATCCTCTGAGGTCAGATATGCTCTCTATTATTGCAAAGCTTGCAATTCTTAGCCAGTAGTGGGAGCATGGGTAGTACCCATGACCTCTGCTGGACTCGTGAGCACAGGACAATAGAAGCCCAGTTCAAAATGTGTCAAACAAAGATGCCCTCCAGCATCTAGTCTACCCCTGCAGGAGGCAGGAGAACCACTGGACTCACGTCTTACATTACATTATTTCCAAGGGAAGTCTCACACAATAGATTTAGTGTTAATTTGTTAAAAACCAGCATTTAAAATATACTATAAGACAGAAAATAGATGAGTGGTTGCCAGGGGCTGAGGGGAGGGGTGAATGGGGAGCTCCTGCTAAGGGGTTTCATTTGGGGCTGATGAAAATGTTCTGGAATTAGATAGTGTGATAGTTGCACGACCTTCTGAAGATAGTAAAAACTACTGAATCGTACACTTTTAGTGAATTGTAAGGTATGTGCACTATATCTCAATAAGAAAAGTGATCATTTTGAATTTCAATTCAGAGAGTTCCTTTCCTTCCATTTAATGTGGGTTATCTTAATTCTTTAAAACATTCTCTTCCCTTGTTAGTCAAGAAAAAAAAAAACATTAGAAGTAAAATAAATCCATCAATCACTGGGAATGGAATTTGATAGATTACCTCTAATCATTCAATAAATCTATTTTAAAGATTATAATTTTGGCTGGCCCAGTGGTGTAGTGGTTAAGTTCACACATTCCGCTTTGGCAGCCCAGGGTTTGCAGGTTTGGATCCCAGGCATGGACCTACACAACACTCATCAAGCCACACTGTGGTGCATCCCACATACAAAATAGAGGAAGATTGGCAGAGACGTTAGCTCAGTGACAATCTTTCCTCAAGCAAAAAGAGGGAGATTGGCAACAGATGTTAGCTCAGGGCCAATCTTCCTCACCAAAAAACAAACAAAATCATAATTTTGAGCATCCTATTTTAATGTTTCTTTCTTTTTTTTCTTTTTTTAACATCCACAGAGTCTCAAAAAAATAGCACTGGACTTGGACTCACATCGTCAATAGAAAGGAAGGTCATATTGTTCCCGCTCCTGGGATTTCTGGACAATCATGTTTCATAAGACAAGGCACCGCCTGCCTCCTCCTCCCAGCGCCGGGGGTCTCCTACCTGTCTGGCCAGCGATGACCATGGGCTGCACGGACAGCTGGAAGAGCTTGTCCAGCACCAGGTGCAGGAAGAGCACGAGGGGCTCCAGGCGCGAGGAGTTCAGGCAGATGATGCTGAGCTTCAGCTCGTGCTCCAGCGCCGTCTCACTGATCTTTTGGTCCAGCACACGGATAGGGAAGCTCACCTGGCTCTCCAGGGAGTGGCAGAGGGTGAAGAACTTCTCCAGGTGGTTGTCCTGGGAAGGCAGACGGCAGGCCTCATGGGTCTTACCCCATCAATGTCCACCGGTGGATTCAGAAACACAATCAAATAGCTCCTTCTAGGCGGAACTTCTTACCCAGTGTTTCAGACCAGAGGTTCTAAGGCATGGGCGTTCCAAATCAAGGTATGAACTGCTTTGTGGAGTGGGGTGCTCAGAATGGAACCTCTCAATAATTATTAACTGACAGAAAAAGAATTTGGACTCTGAGATGTTCGGTGAGCTGAGCCAAGCATACCAGGTAAACACCTTGCCAACAGAGGGGTCTATGCAGATGCAAAATGCAGACAGTGGCAGGAAAAGGAGGGAAAGAAAGACGAGGCAAAAAAAAAAGCTGGAGAAATGGCAGAATTACAGAGGGATACGAGACAGCAGCAGGAAGATGTTTCAAATGAAGTCTCCTCGCACAATTTCTCAGCCAACAGTGCAGGTACTGGGTTCCTTCATTTGGGTGCTCAATATTTTCATAGGGCTTTCCATTTCAACGACAAATAAAACCTGAACAGGCTTTTAAGTCCCCACAAAGAACTAAAGGTTGTTTTTGTTTTATTCATGCACAAAGACTTTCTTTCATCAGAGGGTTCTCTGCTGCACGCCATCTTCATTCTTAGCCTTCTGGCTCTGTGTGAAGTGGATCTTGATGTTCCTTACCTGGGTGTGGACAGAAGAAACAGCTTGCACTTCAATATTAAATACTCCCTTATGTCCTTCGGCCCACTTAATGGGAGGATTCTGTAAAGGGACTTTCTGTGTTAAAGAAAAAAAAAGTTAGCAATTCAATCCCCTTTTCTGATTACTAACAAGCAGAGCAAAGCAACTTGACTGTAAATGTCAGAGTTATACAAATATAAAATTCCCTGGAAAACTACTATAACTGAGCTTGGAGTTAGGAGCCCCGGGTTCAAGTTCAGTTCTGCACCAAACTAGTTATTTTTACTTTGACAAGTCAATCAACCTCTCTGGGCCTTGGTTTTCTTACGCTGAAAGGAGGAATTTGAACTGAGTGATCTGTCTTTAAGCGCCCATCCAGCATTGATAATTTTGATTCTAGAAAGTGAAATAAAGTAATATCCCAGTGATTTTTCCACTTATCAGGACTGTCAGGACAAAGCATAGACTACCTTCATAAGACATGAAATTTTAATGCTTTTGAGTGCCTGCGGTTACTTTCCCTTTTAACAAAATGTTTCTGAGTAGCAGTCCTGTTAGGCTCCTGCTTTAATTACTCAAAATGACTCTTTTATACCATTTATATTTCAATAGCTCTGTAGTCCCTAGAGACCATTTCTTGCCTTAAATTCCCATCGGAACTGTCTCCCTCCAGAGACCTCATACAGCATTGAGTGAGAAGCACCTAGCCTGACCCAGCCACTTGAGTGCGGTTGGTGTCTCTTGCATTTTAACAGAAGGAAGCATGCTGTACTTGCAAGGGTAGCATGAGTGCATGGGGTGGGGACCTATGGAACTATCTAAGACAGAGTCACAAACTGGGTCACACAGTTAGGGAGTGGTAGAATCTGGATTTTGGATCATAATTCGTTTGTCTCAAAAACCCACGTTTGTTCTGCAGCATTAAGGAGATAATTGGGCATCTAGGAAATTAGAAGGTGCAGCTTGATGATGAAAAGGCGGTTTTGAGGGCTTTGTCGAGGGTCTGTGTCCAAATCATAAAGAGTAATCAGAGAATGTCTGTGAACATACTCAGGTGGATCCCAGGTGGTCCTGAGGAGAGGAGTTTGGGTCTAAAGCCAGGCACCTGCCTGTGGCCCAGAGCAAAGAAAGCTTCTCTCTCCAGGGAAAAAAAGGAAATACGAGAACAACAGGATAGCCTGGGGATGGGAGCTGGGTAGTCAGAGTAGGGAAGAAAGTTGATTATAGAAGTTGGAACAAAGTTCAAATTCCCGGGAAATTCTTCAACTTGAAAATTGCAAGGAAAACAAAAGAGATGAATGGGGATCTATAGATTAAGAGTCTTAAAAGACATGTCAACCAATAGCAATGTGTGGACTGTATATGGATCCAGATTCAAACAAACAACTGTACAAAACATATGACATGAATGAGATAATTGGAAATTTGATCACTGATTGGATATTTTAAGATATTAAGAAATTATTATTAATTTTTAAGGTATAACAATGGTATTGTGATGGTTAAAAAAAATAGCCCTATTTTTTCAGACACACACTAAAATATTTATAAATGAAATGATATGATGTCTGGGATTTGCTTCAAAATAATACTTATTGATGGAAACCTATGCCAACCAGACTGAGAAGCGCAAGAGCTGGTGTGGGTGCAGTCAGAATGGAGAGTCTGCTGGGCTCCCTTTAAATGGGTGTATTGCAACAGAGTGGATGGGCAACAGGCAGTGCAGGAAACAGGAGGAGGGAAAAACTATTGACATTGGGATCTTTAGAGGAATAAAAGCCCCACCATCCACCTGGGGCGGTAACAACTGACCCAGAGGAGAAACTAATGGAATCTGGTCTGGGATCCTTTTATAAGGACTGTGATGAGAGCAGCTGTTATCACAAATGGGTTCTATTTGCCTCCCCTTTTATCATACTTTATTCTGTGAATCCCTTTGTTGTAGATACTGCAAGGTAATGCTGCCTTGGGTTGCATTTACCAAACATTCTGACTTGGCGATGTCTCAATGAAAGAGGTTTCACAGCCAGTTACTTCTCCCATCCTATCAGAACAAAGTGCTTTCAGAAAATGCCATGTGCTGACAGATGACTGCTCCCCTAAAACATGCTGAGCATCCTCGGCCATATTTAAGGGAACGGAAAGTGGATCTGGGAAGGTGGTACAAGACCTTGGGTAGACAGGAAAGAGCTGATGGCCAGCTTGCTGGTTACCTCTGCAGAATGCAGGGAGTAGTTGGCAGGCAGCTTTTCCAAGGCAACTGGGAGACAGTAGGATCCAGTTTGAAGACGTTCATTTACGAGAATTGGCAGCCACTGAAACAGATGACGTAAAGAATAAAGTGGTATTTATTACAGCATATAATTCTGGCATTTTATGTGCTCACAGAAATCAAATACAACTAAATGATGATTAGATATTGACCAGGGCTCTTTTTGGCAGTAATTTCCATCAAGTTCTTTGCATTTTAAATTCCCTGAGAGCTCCTGAGATGGTAATATCAATGATTTACTGCTTTCAGAGCCAAAGTAGTAGCATTTTTCTTTATAGCCAATGTTTGTGTGTCTGAACAAGATCAACATTTATTTTACTGTTTAATTTTTTTAAAAGAAATAACTTTTTTCTCTTTGTGGAAAAAGGAGCTAGTTTTATATGTGAAGTACATATATATAACATTTGGAAATAATGGACTTTACAATGCTTTCCTGTAAATGAGTCTTCTTTCAATATCCCTCACCCACTAGCTCTCCATTCCTGAAATTTGTTGTTTGCTAAGTCATCTCTGCTCTTTGCTGTACTCTGGTTTGGCACACTTTGCTAGTTTTGACAGGAAAAAAGCAAATGAATAGAATTTGGTTGTTTATCTCTGCAGGGACCTTCGATGTACCAACAACTGCCCTGTGAATCGGCAAGTTGACAGTGACTCACTGAGTATCCTAGGAGGCTTTCCACGGAGGCTCCTTGCTTCTGCTGACAGCTGATATGATAGAAGGTGAACAGGAGGTGGTGATGAACTGAGAGCTTCGCGGGGAGCTTAATTTTCACTTCTTCATAGAAGTCAGGAGACCTGTTTCGAAAGCACATTATACACAAATAACTTTTAGCGAGAATGATGACTCCCCTGACTATAAATTGTAACGCCACGGACACCGTGCTCCTCAGAATTGCCTGCTTGGTATTCTGCTTGTCATCTTACATCTTTCTGCTCCTAAGCTGGAAGGCCTTGAGACGAAACTCATATCACTGGATACACTTCACTTACATAAGACTGCTTACAAACTAAAGGCTTTGTCAGGAAAAAAAATCTCTGCGCGCAACGGAAAAATCCAACAACTTAATTTGAAAAGAGGATGAGGTTCGGAGTCCTGCTGTGACCTCCTTTTATATCTCTACCCCAAGAACAGGAACAGGCACATAGCTGGCACTCATCAATGGATTTTAGAGAAACGAGTGATGCAAGCAGGAAAAGGAACCTGATTTTACTGAATTACGAAGTCCCAGATACTTTAAAAGTTCTGTGACTCACTTTATCCACAAATAATGAGTGTTCCATTTCTCCTTGGTCAATTTAGATTTTCTTAAAGTAGGTAGTGGTGCAGGTGAGGAGAGATGTATAACAGACAAGACTGAAAAAGGAGTGCTGGATTTTGTTTCTGGCCCCTTCCAGCATCTCAAAGCAAGTTAGGAGATGTATTTCTTTCTTTAACACCATAAAACCTCTCAATTTCATACTAGAATAGAAGGCTCCAGAAAAGTCAAAAGAACATTAGGTTCTTGAAGATATGTTCTTCTCCCAGTCTTAGTTAATGGCAAAAATTGTGCATCTTGGGCTGGCCCAGTGGCACAGCAGTTAAGTTCAGCACACTCCACTTTGACAGACCAGGTTCGCAGGTTCGGATCCCAAGCGTACACCTAGCACCACTCATCAAGCCATGCTGTGGCAGCGACCCACATACAAAATAGAGGCAGACCGGCACAGATGTTAGCTCAGGGGCAAACTTCCTCACCAAAAAAATAATAAATAAATAACTAAAAAATTGCTCATCTCCAACATAGACTCAGAACTGGCATGGATTTCTTCTGGCCCTTAGTTCCTGAGTTACAAAAATTGTTGGGAGGAATCACCTAGAGGATTCAGAAAAGCCAGGAGGTAGTGAAACAATCTTGGCATATGTTTAGAACTCGGAAATATACTTACTTATTATGGTATGTAACGGCTGTGTATACTTCCTGCAGAAATTCAGGCCCATTGGATTTCCCAAAGATGATCTGTTCAACGACATAGAAAGGACCAAATTAACGGTGATATTTGGATATATCAAATCAGCTATCACCTGCCCAATAGGAAGGTCTGGTCTCACGGGGTTGTAATTTTTAAATCAAGAGTACTGAGTTCTACAACTGGCCCAACCACATGGAAGCAGAAGAATTGGCTACAAAGGGTAAACTGAGGTCCCAAGGGGCTATATTAGTGACCAAGGGCCACAGGTTTGTGAAACTGGAAAACAAGTGCTCTCTCCACTCTGCCACACTGCCTAGAGGTCTACACTGCTGGACAAAGTCACAGAGTTTTGCCCTCAGCGAGAGATCACTGGTCCAGGTTCTTTTCCCTCCAAAGACATGGGCTTGGTCACTTGGGTGAGCAGAACCTTCATGGGCAGAATGTTCCACACGTTTGTGCTATTTAGAAAACGACCCCTCCTTGGGCCTGATTCAGTCCAGGTAAATGATTTTACAAGTGGACTTACCTTTGGGCAAAGAGTGAGCCCTTTCCTCTAAATGCAGTCATGCCCATGCCAGGTCCCAAGGGTTGGTGAGAGCGGCCCCCTGCCTGGGGACCTTGGCTGCACTCAGGACCTGCACAGCTGGACCTGGCAGCCCTGGCAGACTTGCCAGGGGCAGAGCAGAGAGAACCAGGGGTGTCCTCCTCTAGGATTTCCCTCCCACCACCGTTACAAGAGGATACCTTGCATTGCAAAGGTAAGTCGGTCATTAGGAGGATGGTTAAAAAAAGAAAAAAAGTAGATATTTGAAGAATGGGAGCACTAGAAAAAAATTACTTCAGTAGAAAGGTATAGTAACTGAATTCTACAACTTATGGAAAATAGTGATAGCTAACCACCCATCTTATTTAGTAGCAGTTGGTTAAAAAGATAGAAATTCTGGCATTTTGGGTTCCTCAGAGAACACTGCATTACATATTTATTATTTGATTTATATTTTGCCTCAGGATGAAGGGCCATTCCTAAAAGATGTTGAGATGGCGTGTGTTTATCATTGCTAGGTGGTGCTTTATCTCCAGATGTGGACGGGGGCTTGGGTAGATGTGTACTCAGTGCACATCTGGAAATACAGCAAACATGGCGGACACATTGGGCCTGCCTCTCTACTTCTTATGCTGTTAGGGTGGTGCGGAAAGACTTTACGATATTTTTCAGTCCTCTAAAATGAACTGTATTTCCAAATTTTACAGCTCATTACAGAATACGTTAGGAAAGAGAAGTTCAATTTAGCCTGACCCCGTTTCCCCATCAGTATCCTGGGACCAAGACTGGACTAGTCACAAAGGCCTTTGCACATGCTGAGTAGCATCAGTATGAATAGACATACTCTGTACACTGATGAGCCTGGATTTGGTCCGCGCGAATTGACAAGGGACGTTCAGCACCCCCTGGTTTGAAGCAAATGTTTATTTCCCTCTTTACCGGCATAGCGTTGCTAGCATCCTCTCCACACATGAACTGGATCTTTATTGTAATGTTCCGGGCAGAGGCTAGTTTGTTAGCGAAGTTCAGCCTCTGTGGGTAGACATAGAGAAGGTTTCTGGAAAAGAGAAGATGAAGAACCAATAAATAAGGTGTACAGTTTGTTTGAAGCAAGTTCTTCAGCAAACGCTGCAGCCTGTGCTCATGAGGTGATTATTCTGAAGGAGGTTTTCCTTCCAGAAGTGAATTATTTTTGGAGGAGGGAGTGAGTTTTGTCGATTCTTCCTCTTCACCTGCGGTCATCTGATAATAACCAACACTGTTCTCTGTTTTGCTGCCTACAAAGATGTGTTTGCTACAGCTGAGAAGATTAATGCCCCAGAATGTGGCAGCCTGCCTAGAGGTAACGGTATGTCTGATACAAAGACAAGAAAGCAAAAAACTTTCAGCTCATTTTAAAGAAAATTCATGGCCATAAATGATGGCTTAATTTCCTTTCTTCCTCTTTTTCGTTTCTAATCATTATGTAGTAGTTTCAATTTCTTATTGGCATGTCATTCTGTCTTGGTTCAACTTTCTTTTCTTATCTAAGATGACAGTTCAAGACTCCAAGCCCAATTAGCTATATAACAATAACACAACAACAATATAAATAATATATCCATCCATTCGACACCTATAGGACAGATACTAGGCTAACTATAACTTTGTGTATCTTTTCTTTCTCTTTTCACCATTACTAGTATATCCCGCTAAAAGGTAAGCTCCCCAGGGCATGGATTTGTATCTCATGTTTTTGATTCACTGATATATCCCCAGCAGCCAGAATAGTGCCTGGGACATAGTAGGTGCTGAACAAAAGAATGAATGTATATACTTCCCATGAATCATAATCCTGACTTAAGGAAACAATAATGATACTAACATTTATATAGTACTTATCCTGAGCTGGGCAATGTTTTAAATATTTCATATCTATTAATTTAATTCTCATAATTATCCTATAGGTAGGTACTATTATCCTGGCATCATGCCCATGTCACAAATGAGGAAAAAATGAGATACAGAGGTGTTAAATAACTTGCCCCAAATCATATAGTTAGGAAATGATGGTCAGGAATTGAAGTCAGGCAGCCTGGACACATGCTCTTAACCACTAAGCTATATTCTCTCAGATAAGACTTCCACTAAAATGACAAGAATGGCCTTTTCATACTTTAGTTTTCATGTGTTATTCATGGCATCTCTCAGGGACAAGCTTACCTTAATTTTCTGGGTCTCATTAACAGTTGAGTGTCAACAGTACACCAAAGGCTGGTTCAATTAGTTAGTGTCACGTTCTTTGGGAAAATGTCTTGTCTTCCTCACTCTTGGTCCACTATTCTAACTCCTAGGTAACACGTTCTCCCTAAACAGACACATTCTTGCCCCAAAGGCTTCCAAGATGACAAAACAAGCTTTGTGTAAACTAGATGCCAGGAGAGCAGCGACTAAAAGGGAGGGCCAGGTGACTAGATTTTCCCTCAGTGAATGTAGGTTCTCATAACACTTTATAAGGATTTGCATATTAATCAACAAGAGGCTTTCTCAACCTCGCCACTACTGACACCTGGGACTGAACAATTCTTTGTTGTGGGGCTGTCCTGTGCACTGTAGGATGTTCAGAGGCATTCCTGGTCTCTATCCACTAGATGTTAGTAATATCTCCTCCCTACTCAGCTGTGACAATTAAAAATGTCTCCAGACATTGCCAAATGTTCCCTGGGGGAGGAGGCAAAATCTCCCCCTTTTGAGAACTACTGATCTATACACGTGAATTTGTGCACTACAGATCCATGCAACTATACCTAGCAAGTTTCCATCTTTAATAGATATAGTCAATGCCACCTACTGGGTCCATATTCAAATGTAAAGTATGTTCCATTGGAAAAGGGTGAAGTCAATACTCAAATATGAGACAGACGATGGAAAATTTAAATCTGTTTAATTGATGAGGTCTGGGGTAGTCAGGGACTGGAAATCCGAAAGAGAAGGACTAGGCCACCACTGACTCTGTTGTGCCAACTCTAACCCCTTCGTTGTGATGACCAGATTGATCCTGCCATCGTGTGTGTGTGCGCACGTGTGTGTGAAAATGGTCTTTTTGGACCACTGTTTGCATAAATCCATGGATTTACCCCACAGCTCTTCCTTGCTATGATAATATCAGCAGGGATAACACTGATAGCCACAACCCTGGACAAGACCAAATGAATGGGCTGAGGGGGCTTGCTTCTGATGGACCACGCAGACTGTCTCAAGGAAATCACTCAGTACCAGATGTGCAAATAAAGAGGCAGCCACGTTACAAAGCTAATGTGCAAGGGAGCGCCATTGCGAGCATCCTCATGGACTACCAGGTACAGGTGGGTTCATGGTAAGAATCCCTGTTCTGGTCTGGTAAGAGGAATCGAGAAGATTTCTGATCACTTTGCAATGGGGGCAATCCTCAGAGCTAAACGTGTGCTAGATTAGAAGGCCTAGTCCTGGAAACTGGATCTTTTACTTCTTTATCATATTCCGGTTTAGATTCACCTTCAGAGTGAGTTTGAAATTTTATTCTGTAATATAGTTCATGCAACTTATCATCGTTAAAAACAAAGATACTTATTTCACCGAGTGTCATAAAACCTTTAGTCTTACACCAGGTATCAAGCTAAGACTAATTCCATTAGCCTAGTGGTCACTGAAAACCACACCACAAACCAGCGTCACCCAGTCTGTTCCACAGAACTCAAGTGCTTTGCAAAAATTAGCATGTGTGTGGGGAAGTGGAGGGGGCGGGGGTGGGTGACCAAACACCGTTTTGGGAAAGATGGTGGTAAACCAAGATAAACAGGTTAATGCGCCTTGTGAATCACTTAGAGGTAGAAAGACTGCTCCTTTCCCCAAAGGTTTTGACCTCGGAAATAATTTCATTTATTTATTCTTTCATGGCATATTTCATGAGTTTAATATTCTGAGCAATCACTTGGGAAAACATTGAAATAAACTAATCTGGCTACAGAAGAACACCGTAGATCAAGGAAGGATCAATCAAAGCACAAGGATTCTCTACTGAAATATCTTCCACGATAACGAATGCTCTCAGGTATTCCAGGAGGAAAAATGATACTTGGAACTGTCGAGAACACGTTGCATGTGCAAGTTCCAAGGCCACGGAGGCAGAGGAAAAGCATTCATACATTTTACTTTACCCTGGTCTTTATGAGTGACTCAGTGGAGGTGGAATGGGGTGACAGTGCTGGGAACAGATCTGAGTTGCTGTGTCCTGTGACTTCTCTAGGCCATCCTGCCTCTTGACAAGGAGTATCGTTACCCTGGCATAGCAGCAACTGCCATTTCCCCCCATCTGCTGGCCTATGTTTCCAGCTCTTTCTAGCTACCATTCTGTCCTCTTGTTGACCTCTTTTAACAGGGTTATAACTGGCTGAAAATGGTCAACTATGATGACTACTTCTTACATTCAATTGAAAAAGAAGATAAACACAAGACAATGATTTTATCAAAAGGAAGTTAATTAAATTTAGATGATGGGCAGAATATTCAACAAGCTTCACTTGCCAGTAAAGTGTAGATGGCCTCCCCAGGCACAAAGAAGGGATTAGCATAGGATTCTGGGGTGTGCAAGATGGGAAGCACTTTTCAAGATGAGAAACCTGAGCCCCTGAGAGGTAAAGTGACAGTGCGCTTTGTGAGCTAGCCACAGAATAGGCATAGGATCCGGTTCAGTGCTGTTTTGAACCTATCAATGGCTGTCTCAGTGGTACCTTCCAAATCTTGCTCTGTCAAACTTGATGCAAGTAGACAGAGTTGAACCTCAGATGCCATCAGGAGAGGTCATGGATGTAGTAATGATGACAGAAGGCAGTTCATAGTCAGGGTACGAGGATGTGTGTGGGACATAGACCCCTCTCTGCTCATTCCTGTTCATCTGCGCTGGCACCACCCCCATTAGCACAGCTGATGTTTACTGAGCAGCAGTGTTGGGCAGCCGTTAAGGATGTTGGCTCTGGAGCCAGAGAGCTGGCCTTGGGCAAGTTACTTAGCCTTTTCAAAGCCCCAGTGGGGCTAATAATTGCACCTACCTCATAGGGCTGTAGTGAACATTAATGAGTAAGAACTTAATTACTGATAGCTAGATGATGATTACTTCCTTCACAGAGCTAAGTCAGAGACACACCCCAACCTACACTCTCTACTCCAAGCCACCCTCATTTCTCACCTGGATCACTGCATTGCTTTCCCAAATGATCTCTTGACTTCTACACTTGCTCCCTACAATCTACTCCTTACATATTGGTCAGAAGAATCTTTCAAAATTGTAAAATAGATTATGTCAGGACCCTACAACGGTTTCTCAAACTTCTTATCGTAGGCCCTACGTGATCTGGCCCTTGGCAATTTCTCTGATTTTCCCACTCATCACTTCCCTACCTTGGCCTTTTTTCAAGGCCTAAAACATTCTAAACTTGTTCCTACCTCAGGGCTTTTGTACCAGCTGTCCCCCCAGCCTGGGAGAGTTTTCCCAGTTCTCTAAGTGACTGGTTCCTTCTCATCTCTTGGGTTTCAGCTCAGATGTCATATCCTCAAAGAGATCTTTCCTACCACATTATTGAATTGGTCCACTCCATTAACACACATACACTCTCTCTCTGTTATAACCATATGATTATCATATATGCATATGATTATGAAAGTAATATATGATTATGAAAATAATATATATCCCTTTTTTAATCTTGAATACTGAAAAGTACAGAAAAGAATAAAATAGCAACTACCTGATATCCCACTGCACTGAGGAAAACTCCTGTTAAGAGTAGGACGTTTCTTTCTAGTCTTTTTTCCCTCTCTACATTAAACATTTTTATCATACCGTATATACAAAGCTTTATCTTGTTTCTATGTCATACTGTCCAATTATGGCCATTTCCCAACGTGACTAAATATTCTTAATAAACAAGATTTCAATGACCACACAATGTTCCATATTATGAAGGTACTATAATTTATACTAGTCTCCAAAAAGAAGCATTTAGGTTATTTCCTCTTTTTCAGTTGTAAGCTGTGACGAAC